AACAAAACTTTCTAAAACCTTTTCTAAAGTTGCATACAGTGACTAGATTTTTTCATCATAATAAGGATATATATTAAATATTTTTTTCAAGATGAATAACAATATTAAATATTTTCTATGCTTTTAAATTTTTTTTTCATACATATTTTTTTGGAAAATGATTATATTTCAGATTTTCTGTTATTATTTTTATTTTCAGAAAACTATCTAGATAATCTACATTTATGATAAATCATTATAGTAAAAAAGTAAAAATCAAACATAAATGAATTTTTAATATGGTTTTGAGTAGTATCAATAATTTTAAAATGATACAAATTACAGTTGTGATGAAAAAATACAATAATTTATAATGAAAAAAAACAACTATTCATAATGAAAAGGCGCTACTCACAACGGATGAAAAAACACAACTATTTATAAGAAAAAGACGCAACCACAAATTTTGAAACGACACAATTTGTGAAAATGTAAATGACATTTATTTGGATTATTATACATTAAAACAAATAAAAATGATATGGTTACTATAAGGTAATACCGTAAGATATAAGATATTTACTAATGAATTGATATTCGCATTTGGGATGGAGATATGAAATTAAACGTACCACACTTGAAATCCTTCTTGGCTTCCCTCACCAATAATTCCAGTTTGAGTCACCTGCTGCATCAATGAAGAAAAATCAATCAAATAAAGCCAACCATGAACCAAGTTATACATATTGGGTGTGACACAAGACTGCTAAACGAAAATCTTGTTCATGGTTATGTGTATGCTTAATAGATGATTCTGACACCATACGGTAAAATAAAAAGCTAGCTTTGCTTTTTTAGATGTATTGTTTATGCTATTTATCTACTCCCTTCTGGTTTCAGCTTGCCCTGAAAGGCTTTCATGTATGTTAGATTCGTCTCCTATTTACTTCGATGTGGATCCGTATTGATTTTCTTCTTAGACAGGATCTTCCGGTTGAATTGTAGCTTCGGCGGTGAGGGATGCAAATTTTTCTGTTTGGTGTTTTTTATTGGTATCATAAATTTAAATAATAAAAAATTAGAATCAGACAAAAATGTATTTTTATGTAATTTTAAGCAATATAAATAAATTTGAAAAAATACAACAATTTAAAATGAAAAAATACAACTATTTATAATAAAAAGATACAACCATAATTTTTTTTAAAATACTATCTTTAAAATCTTTTGTTTCTGTGTCTTCCTTAAATCCTATAAGACACCAATTCTCTTCATTCGCTTCAACAGGAGCCATGACTGTCTTATAATCATTCAGACGAAAATTAATTTTTTTTTGTTTTCTCGGGAAGCCATTTTATCATTGTAATAATTTCAAAATACATTCCATAATGTTAATGGTTCTGTAACTTCATTATGATATACTAATTCGACAAACAATTTACACAATTGATTTGGTGTAGCAGTAAATGATGCTTCTTTCATAGCCACATATCATTCATCATCATTGCTAATTAGATTATTTGTCACACATGCATCTGTCCAAGTTTTAAGACCTTTGTCCCATACATATTTTTTGGTTAATTGATTGTATGATAGATTTTTCGTTACTTTATCTTCTTTATTTATGGCAAACCAGTGAGAGAACATGATTCTATTTTACGGAAATGTATAACGAATAGTTTTTTTTTTTAATGTTATCAAGCAATATAAATAGATTTTAGAAGACACACGTACTCTCCCTCTCTCTCTAATGGTGATTGTACGGAAATTGACACAACTGCCAGATTTTCACACTTTCCGGCCGACGCCGGCTCCTGCATCGGCTGTACTCTTTTTTTTTCTGGTCTTAATTTAGTTGAAACCATGTTTCCTCTTTCTCTTTTAAGAGAATGTTTTATGTGCGACTCTCGCATTTACTTTTTCTTCCTCCGGAAGAGCATTGTCTGATGGTTATTTCATGATCTTTCTGGGTTAATTCTGTGTGTGTTAGTCTGTTTGAGTAAAATATCAGACAGTTGGTTGAAATTATCCTTTTTGGATGAATCAAAATCTTTAAACCGCCTTGGGATCTCATTTTTCTGTGTGTTTCCCAGAATTATTCCTTCAGTTTTTGTCTACGATCCTTATCTACTAGAAGTGATACAATACAACATCACTTCCAAGTCACTAATCTGGGGGCAAACGATGTAATGAGTACTTTTCAAATTGATTGTGTCTTCACTACTGATCCAGGTTTTTTCTCGCTGAACTCTTTATGTGATATATGTTTCTGGAGAAATCTCAGTTTTCACAAGAAGGATTATATATTCATTATTATCTCAACGGAGAACAACCACATGAAGTCATCAACAACTTGTCTGGACAACAAAGTGAATGAGATGAATCTTGTTCATTATTGGGCACGAACTTTGGATGGGTCAAAGTCACAGTTTTCTCCATTGACATTGATACGAAATGTTTGGTATCAATTTGTCTATTTTTCAGAACTATCAACAAAAGCAATGGGTTTATTAATGCGATGTGCAAGTAGAAGTCTCGATGAAGAAAGGAAGACTATGCACAACATCTGCATAAGAAGATCGATTATCAATAAGGAACTTAACAGATTTAATCATCTGTTTGCGAGTAAGACCTCAGTAAAAAACATCGTCAATTCACTTATTTCTTTTAATCATCTTCAGCATATATCTGATGTAATATTTTGCTTTTGAAATTACTGTAATGACTTTGTAATGTTTTGCTATTAATGAATGAGTTTTAACAAAAAAAAATAGAAGACACACATACTTAAAATACGCGATTATTAGTGAAAAGAGAGTAATTGAACGTTGCAACTTTTGAAGGTGTTTAAAATTTCTAATTTATATTTATTGGTTTTGTATAACATATTTTCTACTTTAAGAGTAAAATCAAGATGGTTTCAGAGAACGAAGAAGATTCAGAAAGAATTTTTTTTTATTTCCAAACTATTTGAAAATATACATACTTTTAATTTTGAAGAAATTCCTTTAGTTAAAAGATTTTTGGAAAGTAAAAAATTAAAAAATCATAAAAACAAAACAAAGGGAAGGAAGAGAGAATATACGTGTTTGGTAATGATGTTGCTGTGAAAGTGTTCATCATCTTTGAACAATGTATCCGATCTTTACGATTAATCCAAAGACTAACCAAGCAAACCCTCTCTTGTTCCTATTTGTCTCTAAGCAAACCCTAATTTTGGTCCCGTATTGTTTTTCTTTTCTTCTCTAGTACTCATATTTTATATTTGTAGCTAGGTCCTCACTAAAAAAAACAGAAAATTGCAAAAAAAGATACTTTTAGAATTACCCTCAATAATAAAAATAGAAAATTCAAAGAAATATACATATTGTTGTCTTCTAATGAAAAAAAATCTTCAGGGATTTTAAAATAGATCTGGTGATACTTGAGAGATTTCGTTAGGTTGTGTAATATGTATAATATAATGTTTAAAGACAACACAATCTTCAGTCGATGGGGAAAGTTATAGTCCGCTATGATATTTACTCATTTCACGACACAACAATCATAGAACAAGAACCATTCTGATTTCGGTTTATAGATCATCGATCTATATATCTTTGAGAGATTTGATGGTATCAGTTTTGTGAAAGCTAATATCATAAACAAACTGTATAATTGTTTTGCTTTTTTATTGCCACATAACATTTTTTATAATTATTAACTAATTTTTTTGATATAGATATATCTTCAAAACTACTCTGAATTTTATATTTTTTTGCAAAACAAACATAAACCATTACAGTAAGAAAGTAAATATCAGATCCAAATGATTTTAGTTTTTGGTTCTGAGCATTATAAATAATTTTGAAAAGATATAATGAAAAGTTGCAACTATTTAGAATGAAAAGACGCAATCATTTATAATGAAAAGATGCAACCATTTATAATGAAAAGATGCAACCACCAATTTTGAAATGACACAACTTTTCGAAGGTTCAATTGGGATTTATTCAGATTATTATTATATATAGATATAAATAGATATGTGTTTCAAACCTGCAAGAATTAATTTTGAATCAGCATTTTTGTCAAGAGATCAAACCCTGAATGTGACATTTGCCCATTTTTCCTATTGTTTCATTAGCATGTGCTGAAACATACCCAATCATGTTCTTAACTTCTCATAAGGCCAATTCAACATTTTATCTTATATATTGTCCTCTCTTTGCGTCATGATTTAGACATGGGACAAATCGGCTAAAGAGATAACAGCGTACTTAGTGAGAAGAAATTCTGTTCAGTTCAATGAAATACATGTGCTACATACACATACATGTGCGTCAGTGCGTGTATGTAGAACGTAATGAGATTGCTGCTTTCTTATGTGAAAATTGCTTTATGCGTATATTGCTAAAAGATCGTTTCATGATACGATACCGAAATATTTGCATGACTTGAAACAAAGTACTCAAAATACATGACGTCTTATATATATATTAATTTTTTGAGATAGTAAACTCAAAATATTCAAAGACTCAGTCCATACTATAGTTAAAATAATGTTTAGATAGTTAATATTAAATATTTTAAAATTTCGTGGCTAGTTTTTAGCCCAAGAAAAACAAAAATTAAATAAATGCATTGGAGGCCTGGAACGACAAAATTAATAAACTACACAAACAAAAAAAATCCGAGCCAGTTTTTCTCATTGCTTCAAAGAATTTATCAAGTGGGTTAGTTGAATATATAGTGAAAATCTTCATGAAGGCGAGGCTCAAATCTTCTTCATTTCATTGAGCTTTTAAGAAAAGAAAAAACAATTCATGCTGGCCCAAAGTTCTTAGGGGCTAACTAAACTCAGATGCATTTGACGTAACTGATCCAAAATTGAAAAATATTGAATCCATATTACAATTAACATTATCATCTTTCTGGATAGATCGATCAGGCCGAAACTTTCTTACGGTACTGATAACTACATGATTACTGAAACCCAAAACGATTTGGACTTCGAGTAAACGGGCTATTGGGCCAAAATACTGAGGCCTACTTAGCCTTTCCAGATACGAAAGAGTCAAAAGAGATTTCATTTCTGATTAGTCGCGAAACTCTCTCTCGCCATTGTTGCACATCTCTCTTTCCAACCCTAAATCGAGAACTGATCAGGTGCCTGAAACAACCAGTCGTTAATCATGGGAAGCGCTCTCGATGGATTTTACAGACTTATCATGCGCCGTAACTCCGTCTACGTCTCCTTCATCATCGCCGGCGCTTTCTTCGGCGAACGGGTGAGAGAGATCTATACTCTTTTGGGGGTTTTTTTGTTTCGTTTTATACCTTCTTAGCGTTCATATCTTTCAGGATCTGCTTTGTCGATTGTAACGAAATCTGGGATTTTGCTGTAAAATGATATTATTGGTGACTAAATTTCATCAGATAGAATTAGCGATCTACAATAGAGATGTAGATACTGTTATTTTGCGAGATTTTGAGAGGAAACTGTTCAAAATTGCTTCTTTTGGGGGTCTCAAATCCTGTAATTCTGCAAAAATAAATGGGTTCGTATTTATATGAAATCGTACATTTTATGTGTGCAGGCTGTGGATTACGGTGTTCACAAGCTGTGGGAAAGCAAGAATGTTGGGGTATGTTATGTTTTTGTTTTGATTCTATCTCTCTTGTGATCTGATTTCGTAATGCTAAAACATGTTTTCTGCAATCCGATGCTGATTTTTGTTTTTGATTAATCGGTGGAGGAAGAATGTGATTGTGACTTGTTCTGTTCTTTCTCTTAACTCACGTTTTTCTTCCTTTATGATTAACTGTGATTCAATCCTAAACTCTGAAAATGCTTTTTGTTGACAATTTTCCCAAAAATGTTCAGCTGCTGCTGTTATTGTTTTTTGAACTAGATTCTAGATGTTAATTGTTTCTTCAGTCTCTGTATTAACCATCTTGTGGAATGATCACATTTCTTTTTAAACCTCTTTTGTTTTCATTTTACCATCACAATCATCGTCTGTAATCTCTGTTTGTTGTTAGTTTTACTAGGTAATAGTTGGAACTCTGTTTCAGAGTAATAAACTGGCTAATTTGATTTCTCCTTCGCGTTTTATTAAAGCTCAAATCGGATTTCCGATATATTTACAGTTCTCTCTCTATGGTTTTTGCTTAGGTAGTTCAACCATTAACTTCATGATCATTTTTTTTCTGTTTTGAATGAGTATCTGTGAAGGGTAATGACTATATAATTTACATACATAACATGATATTGTTGTCATGGTGCAGAAACGGTATGAAGACATATCTGTGTTGGGTCAAAGGCCAATTGAAGAATGATATTTCTCCTTTTTGAATCTCACAGACAAAAAGAATTAAGTGGAAATTTCCATGTTGTTTTGCACTCTTGAGTCTCTTTCTTTGTTGAATAAATCCTTGGGATGATTTTCATACTTTCACCTAAAAGTGCTATTTGGCTCTTGATTAATTGAATTTTTTGCATTGTGAAAATATGATAACATTTTTCATACGTCGTCGCATTGCACGTATCAGTAGTTTAGTTCTCTTTGATTTAAATTTGCCCTTTCGTGAATCTTCTACTCTCCACTTAAGGTTTCTTGAAGAGCCACTATAGCAAACAAAGTCCATGATCTGAAGTCTAAACTTATCCCATCTTTGAGAAAAATTAATTATTAGAGAATTCTTTTACGAAAAGGGTCAGATTCAAAAGCGTTTTCGTTCCATTTCCTTAGTTGGATCCAAAATTGAAAGAAGATTATGATTGTATGAGTTCTTTGAAGAACAGCCATACGAGTCACTGTCGATACTTGATAGAGCATTGCATTTTACAGAATTAGTGGGAATTAAACCGACAAAACAACATTGGTTCGATTTCGTGCAGAGAAGAACATAAAGACTTCCCACTAAGCTGTGGGGTAAATGTTAAAAGATTAGATTTTGAAGACCTCTTTATCATAAATCACACAATTTGGCGCACAACTACTTTCCATGGCCATGCATATAGAGAAGACAAGTATCGTGCATAGGCCTCTTTTTGTGTATACGATGTGAACCAATTATATCATTCAAATATTAAAAAAAAAATCATCTGTGCCAGACTTTCTTAAATCATACGGGTTTGGCAGAAAAAAAAATGATTGATATGGGCAACTCAAGTGGAATTTATCTACTCACGGATCCGTATAATGCGTTTTGTTTTGTTGCGACAAGAGACTAGAGATCAGTTCTGGAGAAAATGCATGTTCTTAGGGTCGGAGTATGGACAAATGAATATTCCGAATTCATTTTGTCCTGGTTCCGTTTAGTAATGCCCTACTTGATCATCACATCACATGTTTCACTTTTTTTCATTTTTTTTATATTCAAAGAAGTTCCTTTTTCATTTCTCCTAAACGAAATGATCGATATTTCATAATCATTTATTTAGTGGGAATAGTTTATATATTTTGTAAGGAGATGGGAATAGTGAAAAATGAAAATTCTCTCGATAATAAGTGGGGAAAAAGAAAGAATGGGAGGTGGGTTTTTATGAGGCAGGCACCATCTGTGGATTATGCGAAAAGATATCACACACCAAAAGGATAAAGCAATCATTTGTTTCGATAAAGTTTTGATATAGACAATACTGTATTTAAAACACAAAATAGCTTAGTCTAGGGCTTTACATAAGAAAAGAAAAACATTTGAAAACTTTCATCGATTATCTTAGTATCTGATCCATGAAATGAAATTCTAAGGTATTGTGTAACTTATGTGGGAATATTTAAGTACGACAAAGTTATTAATAACTGTATTTCGTAACGCTTATATTCACATCAAATCCTTCTTAAGCAAGGTTCGAGTCCTGAGTATAATTGTATAAACATACTTTAACTTGAATATATGTCGTTTCTATTTCCAATTACTAAAACAACATTAAATTAGGTTGGTGTGTTGGTTCTTTAGTGATAGTGTGTCTACCGTTCCGCCTAGCTAATTAGTCATGCATGTAAACGATGGAAAGAGAGATTGAACTCGATAATTTGTGTTACTCTTCTCGATTCATTTCATGCTTATCGTTATAGGAATAGGACCGATCCAAGTGGTCGACGTGGGTTCGTAAAAGTTTGTGATGAAGATTCGACAAAGTGTAGGAACACAAGCAATGAATCTAAAACTATATATATTTATTCTCCTCCTAAATACCAAAACTTTAAGAAATATACACTAAATCTTGTTAAAATGGAACGTAACAGTTAACCGAAATAAACAGACCGAATTATATTTTAGTAGAATGAAATGTTGGTGGTTAATTGTTTATTTCATTTGGTAAACTGATATTTTACCCTAATGTCCAAAAAGGCTTTAGATATTAATCACTTTTAATCTGTTACTAAGAAAAGAATGTGCTTAAATCCAATGTCGGGTTTATCCCATTGACATGTAAAACTTTTTTTGAGTAGATTGTACGAGAAACAATTACAATAGTGTGATTGTTTCTAAAGTCTTTGTTTTACACCTTATGATGGAACATACTTATGCCATATATCATCATTAATTGTTTACAATTCCAGAGTCATCTAAAGTTGTCAAATCGTCATGTAATTTGTAAATCGACCACTTACTCACAAAATTGCCGTATCAGTTAATTAACTACAGTCGTTTTGTTGTTAGATTATATTAGTTGATCGATTCATTGATTTATCGGTTTATTAATCAACTAACGCCTATATATAAATCAGTATCTAGCCATTTTATACGACCGACTAATATAACATAGGTTCTTAATTTCTAATAAGAGCACACAAAGGTGGTCTCTGCTCTCTACTCTCTGTTTAGCCGGATTAGCCAATTGTTTCCTCTGAAGAGGATATATTCCAAACCCTTTATTAAAAAAAAGAGAGGATATATTCCTTAACTTCATCGACGTATATAAATAGGTATGAGATATTTTTTACTACGTCTTTTTTTGACAACACTTTTACTACAAATTCACCAAATAGAAAAGTTACTCAAAAGAATAGCATATACAACCCAAAAATGTTGATCACATATTTTGAATATAATACACAACATCACTACCTTCTTTACTGTTGACCAAATAGAAATGTTGACCACATACTGTATTCGGAATATAATAATAATATTTGACCAAAAACAAAGAATATAATAATAATATAATACACAACATAAATACTATTTTGACTGTTGACCAAATATAAAAGTTATCTTATAATACGATGTAAAAAATATAAGAACTAATATTTCTCAAAAACAAAATATAAATATGGTATGATGATGACCCCATTGTAACCACAGAAATTTGCTTGGAATAACATTTGTTTTTTAGATATTTCTTTAATTTTTTATCTTTATTTTTTGTGCATCTTTGTTATGAAAACAAAAAAAAACTAATGTTAGAAGAGAGGGCTATAAATAGCAGAGCCAGTCCGGTCGTGACAGCCATGAAGTAAGCTAGTAAAACACTTTATTACCTTCGCAGGTTTAATTTAGAAACAAAAATCATTAATTACTTTATAGATTTGATAAATCTGTCCTCATCTTATCTTTTTTTTTTTTTTTTCTTTCTAATGCAAACCCTTTTCCTCTCGTTTTTAGCAGATTCCAACAAAGCAGGAATTAAAACACAATATTAAGAAGAAGAAGATGATGATAATGATGATTAAGCTCTGCTTCTTCGCCATGGCCATCCTCTGCATTGCCCCTGCAAATGCTCGTAATGCTAACACTCTTTGTTTCTCTCCCCATGTGCCATATCTATATACACACCCACATATATATATTCATAATTAGATAATATATGTATATAAACACGTTTATGTGAATATCCATGCACATGTATATACGGTTTTTAGAACGAAAACAAATAATTTAGAAAGTTCCAATAAAGTTAAAGTTTGAGGATACATATGGGTTTAAAACAGATCAAGTAAATGATGATGATACGCAGTCTAGTGGTTTTTCAGTTGGTTGGAATCAATTAATCAAAGATCGATTTTCACTATAGTGTGCGTAGTTTTTCTCTTTATACTGTGGTTTTAATTAGAAAATCGATTCATTAAAAGGTTTTTAAAGGATGAACAAACAGAGAGTTCTCTGGTATTTGTGTCTAGGGAGATTATGAGTTGTGCTTAAAACATACAAGCCAACAATCGATCCTAAAAAATGGTAAAAATTATCCAAAACTGAAGGTTTCATCCGCAAAAGAATTAGCTATTGCCTTAGTAACTTTAAGTAGTTGAATATAACTTTTTAACAGTCCGCAAATTTTTTTGGTCTTAATGTTAATGAGCAGAGACACAAGGAGTAGTGTTTGGATATAGAGGGAAAAATGGACCAAACCAATGGGGACACTTAAACCCTCACTACACTAAATGTGCTGTCGGGAAACTGCAATCTCCAATTGATATACAGAGGAGGCAAACTTTTTATAACCGCAAATTGGAATCGCTACACCGCGAATACCACACCACAAACGCAACGCTTGTGAACCACGTCTGCAATGTCGCGATGTTCTTCGGGGAAGGAGCAGGAGATGTGGTGATAGACAATAAGAACTATACCTTACAGCAAATGCATTGGCACACTCCTTCTGAACATCATCTCCTTGGAGTCCGGTAAGCTCCAATTCTTTTCCTCAATAATTGATTTATTTATAATCATAAAACACATTATTCTGGTTTATGATAATTAAAATAAAATTTCTAGACATTCTTTGTTTTATTATCGACCGAATTAGCTAGGTTGGTGGAACTCAAAAATCGAGTTTGGATCATATGCCAATTTGTTACTCAAGATTTTAGAAAATTCCAAAGCTATTTGTATTTCCATAAATAGTCAGTCACAGATTCAGTCTAGCCCATAGGGTAAGTATTTATTGGGGATTAGCCTGGCCTGTTAGGCCCATGTGCACTCTATCTTGTTTATTCTTCTGTCATTAAGTTTTTGGAGTTGTAATGTTTTTTTGGTTTTTCTTTGTTTGAGTTTTAAAAGGATGTTTAAGAAGAAAACTATTAAATAAAATGCAAAAATAACGTAGATATGCAGCTGAGCTTCACATGGTACACCAAGCAAAAGATGGAAGCTTTGCTGTGGTAGCAAGCCTCTTCAAAATCGGCAGTGAAGAACCTTTCCTCTCTCAGGTTATATATACATACATATTAATATATATATCAATTGGATTATAGTTAGTGAATGCTAATAATAATATAAGTGAAATGATTAGATGAAGGATAAATTGGTGAAGCTAAAGGAGGAGAGATTCAAAGGGAACCAAACAGCACAAGTGGAAGTAGGAAAAATAGACACAAGACATATCGAACGTAAGACTAGAAAGTACTTCAGATACGTTGGTTCACTCACTACTCCTCCTTGCTCCGAAAACGTCTCTTGGACCATTCTTGGCAAGGTAACCTTTTTACACACGTATATTATATATTGTTCGAAGGGTTAAAAACAAATTCGTTTAGTTGCTAATTGTTTGGTAATCTAGTGGTTTAGTAGTTTTTTCTACGATTTGGAATTTAGTGTGTGACATCCATGTAGTTAAGAACAAAAAAAAGATTAAATTTCTGGTTATGCGTAAAAGTTGGTTTTGTTTAAACTAATAATTCAATAGAAGATATTAGTAAGAACAATCAAACTAAAAAGTGACTTATTTTGTTCTTTATACAACAAAACTTTATACGAAGATTTTTGTAACAATGATCTAGCTGTTTGGTAAATTTTATAAACCTTTTATGTTTTATTTGTTAGGTCTCTATATAGGAAGACTTAATATATATGTGAAGCAGTGAAATTCCATAGAAAATGAATCTAGCTGTCGCAAGAATTTTAGACCATAGTGTACGTAACTATAATTAATTCAAGTTTCAAACTTCATACAAGATACTCTATATTTTATTGACATATTCAACCATTTTGAGTGTCTTTTGGGCTCCACAGTCCCTGCTTTTAAGCTTAATAATGGGTTTTTATATGTCAAACTTATTATATACGTTTGAAAGAAATAGAGAAGTCAAGATTCGATTGGTAACACCTAGCTACTACTTCCATGTTCATTTGACATTTTCGTATAGAAACGGTCCCAATTAGTGTGACATCTTGATTTATAATTGCCGTGTGTAATAATTTTAAATACAGGTGAGGTCAATGTCAAAGGAGCAAATAGAACTACTCAGATCTCCATTGGACATTTCTTACATGAACAATTCAAGACCTTGTCAATCCCTTAACGGCCGGAGAGTTGAGATGTTCCATGAGCTAGCCACCGATAAAAATGAAACCGGTAGCAAAAAGAAAAAACCCAATTAAGTTTTACATTGTGTATCGGTTTTTTCAGAACTCTGATTAGCCTCGAGAGATTAATTAGCTCTGTAATACGAGAAAGAATAAAAAAATAATCTTACGTAGTACTATATATGTTCTGTTAACTACTTGATCTTCGAAATCCAACTAAATTTGGTAATGTGGCATAGTGAGATATATATGCCTACGTTGAAAACAATGTGTGATAATAATATACTAGTATTAATTATATACGTAGTATTATGTTTTTATAACAACAGTCAACAGTGACACAAATATCCCCAAAGTGTTAAACAGGGTTTGACTTTTAAGACATCAATCTTAATTATAATCTAATGATCAGTTTAGTTGAAGCCAAACTGATCTCTCAAGGTGATCAACCACCGATGGTTTGGCACAAAAAGGTAAAGTATGAGCTCCCCTCTCTGTCTACCAATAAGTTCATGCACCCTTTTATAATTGTCATTTTTATCTGTTATACTCTTCACAAACGTTGCATCTTATTATAGAAAAAACATATATATGAATAATACATCAAATCTATCTCTGAGTAAAATGTGTAGACGAAAATGTATTCTAAGATTACGAAGATATTAATTTTGAATTTTTTTGACGATTATTATTTCTCAATAGTATAAAAGAAACAAGTACTATATCAATTGTTGGAACATGGAAAATTGATGAGGAGAAAATAAAATATCTAAAAAGGGGGTTGGTTGTTTCTGTGTTGGTTAGATATCATTGCTGCGCTTTGCGAGGAAAGAAGGAGATCAGAGGTAAAGACAAATTTATTGTCATTGTATTTCCTTCCAACTCCAAACAAACAATAATTCTCGCAACTAAAATAAAATCTATACTATTCGACAAAAAAAAACTATAGTATATATTAGAAAAGTACATTATAAAAACAAACAAAAAAACTATATATATTATTATCAAAATGAGTGAACCTCTCTTATTCGCAGGCAAGCGATTTTTTCTCCACACATGTACACGTCTTATTGCTAAGTCAAAATCCTTTAGAACACAATAATTCTCACGTCGGTTTCAAATTGAAATGATATTTGGTCACCTCATTAATATGTTGATTAGACACATAATATTAATCTAGTCTTCAAAAAATGTATTAGCTATTACACTTTGTTCAAAAATTTGAGATCAGTGATATTAATATTTAGATCCTTTTGATTGATATTTGTAACTATACTTTGTTCCAGTTCAACAATCAGTGATCAATGAATTTTCAAGATTTTTGTTTTGTTTTTTCATTAAATCAACGTAAAGTTGTAATTTTCTTCTTCTAAATTACCTTTGATTCTATAGATATCAGCTATGTTTTCTGGACACAATCTTTTTCGTTTGTTCAGCATTTTTAGGAGCATTAACATAAGTAATTCAGGAATACAACCTCTGAAAAGCACGAAAAGTAGTTTGTTCAATGCTAAATAGTTTAAAGGACAAATTTATAAATACAAATAGTTGCTCATTGATGATTATTAACACATAAAAGCTTACAAGTTTTCAATGCTCATATAATTTGTCTGAAGTCCCCATTATTCAGGGCTAATAATAAAATGCCAATTCGAAGGACTGACTTTTTCAAAATTGTTCACATATGTTTATATTATAGAATCAAAGATGGCTAAGAACGTGACCTGTCTTTTCTTGAAAACGAAATAACTAATCAAGTTACAAATTAAATACAAAAAGACACACTCGCGATTGTTTTTACTTAAATCGTCAGCTTGCCAGGACTTGAACAAGTCAAGGTTTTTGAAAATTTTCATGGCTCCCACTATTCCACTATTTAAGTCGACTTCATTATATAGAATAAGCTCATTTGTCTAAACCATATTATTGACCATTAGTCGCGTTACGCATTCAGTATTTTTACATTCTAAGAGAAAACACATATACAAATATATAACAAAACCTATGATGATTACAGCCAAAAGGTCAAAAAGAAGCAAAACTAATTCAAATATCAAAATCTTGAGAAGAACATGAAGGCACCATATATATAATATACAAAACGGTGGAAGTGGTTGAGAGTTGAAACGCAAGAAAACTAAGTGTCCGCGTTCTCTATATGCCGTGTTCCTAACTCCGTTAACCACTCGCCACGTCAGCGCAACGACTTTTTAAAATAACACACGCTCATGGGCCCCTTTGAAAGCCCAGTTAAAAGCTAACCAACCAATCACGATCCTTGTTTTCTCCGTAAGCAAGGAACACGAGACTGGGCCCCACCATTTTTAAACCCCGTCCACACTGTAAACTCCGCACGTCACGCCACGTCAAACGTCTACCAATAAATCCGGTCTTCTCCCCGACGTAAACCGCGTCATCCCACCTAAACCGGGCAATCCCAGTTCACCGCCGTCTACAGATCTTCTCGAACCGGTGCTGTTCCTCGGCGGAGAGGATTTCCCGACGTCTTCCGGCGGAAGACGAGCTCTGATATCGCTCGATCTTCTCGCCGAAACTCTCGGAGGAGTGGTGGTGACGTCCCTGTGCGGAGCGTGTGCTCTAGTCGCCGATAGGTCTTTGCAACCGCCTCCGGTTCTGAAGATGGCTCTGAAGCTCGCCAAAAACCCGGGTTTCTTGGCACGTACCGGTTTATCCTTGAACGAATCGGTTCGACCGGATTTCTGTCTCTGCATTCGCCGGCTACGGTCTCGCTTGGATCTCACCCTCCCAATGCAAGAGACTTTCGGGGAAGAAGGCTCCGATAACGAAGGATCCGATTTCAATCGCGACCCGAACCGTTTCGGGATCATCAGAGTCCTCGCGATTCTGCAGTTTCTCCGCTTCTTCACCTCGTTGAAACACGTCTTCTGGGGTTTCGGCAATCTGATGATCGACGTCTTGGATTTGAGAGAAATCCGCTGACTCTGAGAGCTCGAATTGGGGTTCGAATTTGGAGCGGAAGAAGAGTTTCCCTTCTGTGATTCTTTGCGCTCGAAGAAGGCGTTCTCGTTGAACCACTCGAGCTGTGCTTCTTTGGATAAGGAGTAAGACTCCGGTGGAAAATCGATCGGACTCGCGGCGGAGACGGAGACGGGTAGGATCATCGGGTCATGAGCGGAGTCATCGTCGTCGTCGTCGGCGCACGCGATCTTCTGGTCGGAGCCACCGACGCATACTGAAGAAACCAAGGTTTCAAGATCGAGTGGGGGCATTTAGTGATCGAAACAAAGACGATGGTGATGCCTTTAGCCAGAAACTTGTACAGGTTTGATCGGAGCGAGAGGTAGTTTCAGGGAAGAGTAGATATCCAAATTTGGGATTCTTTATAACCAATAGCCTCTTTTATATTTGCCGATTTATCTGTTTTTTTTTTTTTTTTTTTTTTCAGATGAGATTTCGGTTGACTTTCGCTCTTAAATTCCGGAGCGTTCTCTATTACTAATTTTTATAGTACGAATTTTTCTTAAAGTGATCAAATTGTTTATATTTCCATTCTTTATGTATGCTACTATGCTGTAATTAATATGGCTAAAAATATAAAAATAGATAGAAGCCTCATCATTGATTTTATGTACCATTTTAATTAACAAAGCATCCAAATTTGTATGAGAATGCACTTTGCAGCAAAGTGTTGGTAATGGATTTGAAAAGGAAAAAAAAAACCCCAAAAAAAAGAATATGTATTTATGCAGAATGTTATTTTTCTGGTTGTATAAATTAGCATTGGTATGTCCTATTCTGCGACTCCACATTGACATTCAAACAGATAATGTAATCTCTCTTTTTTTTGGTTTTACAAATTAACATTGTTTATGTCTGTTCTATTCAACGAACCAAGCTCGCAAGTGGGATGCACAGAGCGACCATAAGTGTCCCACACGGGTTCGATAGTGTTATCCTACGATAGATCTCCATGCAAGATAAAACACACATAGTGATCACATTTTGAGACATGTTCCAATGGTGATTTTGTCCAATGATTTGTCCCAAGGTCGCCTTGTACAGTTGTATTTCTTTCATCTCTTTATATTCTTACTCATTGAATCAATTATGCTTTTTTAATCCCTCAAAACCAACTAAAGTAAAACTATATATATATATATATATATATGTATACAGTTAAAGCTCTATGTGAGCAGAAGAGTCTAGCACAAATAATTAAGAAGATCATTCAACGAACACAAGGTGGCATGAATTTGATGCCCTAACCACACCATCCAACTCCATGAGCATCTTATATCTCTCTTCCAACTTGCTGAGCTCTTTGTATTGAATGGGTCTTGTGGAGATCGTTGCATTCTTCAGTCGTCTTGCGTTCCTTAGAATGTAAGTAGCCACTTCTATCTCCTCTTCTCTATCCCAATTATATATTGTCCACACAAATGTCTCGAGATGGGACAACAAACATTCAGGAACATCCTTTGGTTGGTTCCATTTCCCACCGACCACACAATCTTTATCAGATTTCTGGGATTGCTGATGAGACCACAATAAGAGGGAGAATGCAATGTGTATCACTATTAGACCTTCGAACAAATCTTATCACAAAGAGAGAGAGAGAGACCATAAAAACTTAGCTAGGTGACAATAACGATATGGCTTACATCAATGAGCTTGAGGGCTTGTAGTTTAGGAGAGCTATCGAGCATGAGCGCAAGTAGATTCCACCACTCCAATTTATGTGTATACATCTCTAAATAAACCAGCCGATAAAAGATAGCTCCGGTAGGAAACATAACCTATGAATAAATATCATATATTAGTGTCAGTAAAGAAACATTGTGATACACATAACTCAATAAGCAAAGTTACCTCCAAGGGTGATAAGTCCAAGAGAAGACGTTTGGCTGACTTGAGAGATATAAGAAACCTCTCATTAATTACTGGAGAAACATTACTAATATTTGCCTCAACTAGCTCGGGCGCATTCTCAATGAAACAGCGCTCAGAATGACTAATCCCTCTAATTCTCAAGTACTGTAAAGAGGGAGCGTTTATCGTATAACCACCACTCTTTACTACACCAGTGTAATCTTTAATCGATAGCCTCTTCAAGGATGGTGCCACAATAAAGAAAGTCAGATCATTCTTAGGATAATCTCGACACATGACCAAATTTTCAAGATTAGGACATCCAGATATAATGTTACGGAAAGATGCATTGTTTCCGAAATCCACACAATGAAGGTGCAGAGTTCTGAGGGACTTCATACAAACAGGAGATTGAACATCTACAAGAACCGAATTCTTGAGTTTCAAGGTCACCAGTGTATTATTAAAGCTAAACAAGCTACTTGGAAATTTGATTTTCGCTTCCAAGCGATGATCGAGCACGAACTCACGCAGATTGCGTGCAAACGCAATTCCAGCCCATAGTCCAATATCTATAGCACGACAATTATGAAAAAATTTGAGATGCAAACTCTCCAACACTGGTGCTTTGTGTGAAAGCAAAAACCTGCCAACGTTCTCTGAAAACTTCTGATGATTGGTAGATTCAAACTCAAGTTTCGGCACCAGCTTCCAAAGGGTTCGCCATCGTTTAGACAAAACACTTGTGGCTATGAAAACTTTTATGGGAAGACAAGACAATATCTGCAGAAGCAAAGCTTCAGACAACTTACTGATCATGTCCTCATTAACAACACCTTGCTTTCTCAAACTACAAAAAAAGAAAGAGATTTAAGAGTTAGGGTTTGAGATTCGTGACGACGGAAGCATATAAGAAGATATAAGAAACAGAGAAACATACCACTGAGGTTCCATCAGTGCGATGTGATGATTACAGTTTTTGATTGATTTGTTAAAAAAAGATGGGCGACTCATCAACCAAATTAAAACCGTAATACATACGAAACCTAGTATGACATCATCTATTTTTATTTAACCGACGGTGTGGACAAAATTACCCTGTTTCTAAAATATTGTTGAAACTTTTATCCGGAAACATCGCAGTATTCACAATCCATAACTCCAAACCAGTTTGAACCAAAATTGTTGTAAGTAGATAAGAAACTTGCAGTGCTTTCTTTCGAACAAGCAGCGATATTTTAGGAACCGAGTCCTGCTTCAAAACGGTTAGGACTTAGACCATCTCCATCGCTAAAATCTATTACAAGAGTATCTAATATATATTTTATTATTATAATTTATTAACACAATTAAATTTAAAATGTAAAAGTATTACAGCAACTTAAACCATGACAGCTGTATTAAATGCTAAAAAATCGTATGCAAAAACTGCTATTAAAGAGACGTATGTGTGCATGTGTGTCTCTCTCCTCCTTTTCTATTATATTTTATTTTTTTAATTCTAAGATATCTTGTTAACAGACACCGGTGGAGGTATTCTAAGACCATCTACATTGCAAGTTTTGATAGACCCATTTATTTTTATATTATTAAAAATTATATTTATTTAATATAATATTATTATTTGTTTTTTTTATTATTGCTGAGAGGCTTGAGGTTGCTGTAATGGAAATCTCTCATGAGAGATTCTCAATATTAATTAAATATGAATCAATATGTATTATATTGATTCATATTTAATTAATATATAGAGTTTTTTATGAGAAATTTTCAATGTGGATGGTCTAAGTTTTTTAAGAGAATTCCAAATACTTCTGATTGGTGAAAAGTGTCTCTCAGATTTACGAGCCAACAATAATACATTAATACGGTTTTTCCTACAAAATAATCCGCTAATACACTCTTTGTGACCACTCGAGGAGTCAAACATGGAGAAACATAAGAGCAACAGCAACAGCAAAAACTTTTCCTAACATCTCTCTCATATATAATACTAATATAATTCTTTTATTTAATTAAAATTAAAATTATATAAAAATGAGCTAATCAATACAACAATAACACTCAAGTCTCTCCATAAGTTGACACATCAGATTTTTTAATCTTTGAAAAGCTGACACATCAGCTATTTTACAAACCAATCAAATTAAAACATTAATACAGCTCATCTACTTATTTTATTTTTAAAGAAATCAAAGCCCAAATAATAAACAACATCAAATAAAAAATATTTTTGTTTTATTGTTTGTCAAATCCAAGCTCAAATAATAAATAACAGCAAATAAAAAAAATTAAATCTTTGTTTTATTTTTTGCCAAACTCAAATTCCAATAATAATTAACAGCAAATAAATAAATTTTTTTTAGCTATTTGTTTTTTCGACAGAGACGTATATGATTTAAAAAGTGTAGGCTCATCATCAACTATGTTTTCATAACAACAACGCAAAAAGCCTTATGTTATAAGAAGCTCACACATCAACAAAATTTTGAACCAATAAAAACATAACAATAATACATATCATTCACACACTAATAAAATCAGTTTACTATTTTGGAGACCCATTAAAAAGCCCAAAAGTTTACAAAATAATGAAAGTCGAAAGCAAATGAGGAGAAGCTCAGACCACCATGACTTGGAGATTCGCATTTCCAGTGGTTACTCTGAACAAATTTTCATGGGTTTAGCTGGAATAGAGAATTCTTTAGTTTCGGTAGGAAAATGTGATTATTAGTTTTGCTAGGAAAACATAATTTCTTGGTTATGGCGGAAAAAATGAATTATCGGGTTTGGCGGAAAATGTGAATTTTTGGTTTTGGTGAGAAAACAAAAAAAATATATTAATTTTGGTGCGAAAACAAAATATCTTAGTTTTGATGAGAAAATGCGAGGGAAATGCAACTTTTTCATTGACAAAAAATATGATTTCTTGGTTTTGATAGGAAATGCAAATTTTCGGCTTTTGATGGATAATGTGATTTCTTGATTTTTTCGGGAAAATGTGATTTTTTACTTTTTGTGGGAAATTGTAATTTGAAGATTTTGGCAAAAAATGCAATTTCTCAGTTTGATGAGAAAACAAAATTTCTCGATTTTGGAAGGAATAAGCAATTTCTCGGTTTTGATGGAAAATGCAAATTTTCAGTTTTTTGACATATAATGTGATTTTTTGGTTTTCGTGATAAAATATAATTTCTTAGTTTTCGCGGAAAACATAATTTCTCAGGAGATAATACAATTTTTGGTTTCCGTGGAAAATTGTAGTTTATCAGTTTTGGTAGGAAGGCCTGATTTTTAGTTTGATGAATTTTTTTTTTGCGGGAATTGACGATTTCTCGGTTTTCATGGGAAAATGAATTTTTTGGTCTTGGTGAAAAAACTTGATTTCTCTGTTTTGATGGAAAAACACAGGTTCTCGCAGGAAAATATGATTTTTTGGTTTTTGCGGGAAAATGCAATTTCTTTGTTTTGGTGTGAAAATAAAATTCCAAGTTTGACGAGAAAATGAATATTTTTGGTTTTGGCAGGAATATGTGAAATGATTTTTTTTGTTTTATCGGAAAGTGCGATTTCTCAGTTTTTTTTTAAATGGCAATTTGCTTTATATGATCAAGTGACAATTTAATAAAGAGATAACAAATTATATTTGCCATTAGCATAAATGTACTTAAAAATGTATTGTTTTATTCTTACATATACATTTCTAGATAGTTAGCTAAACAAATTTGATAGTAGATTATAATTTTAAAAAAAAAAAATTAAAGATATATAATGTTTATTCATATTTAAAACATATAAATACATAACTTAAGTTAATAAAAAATAAATATAATACTGATTTATATTATAAAAATAATTTTATTTTATTAAAACTATATACAAAATCTAGAAATATATCCTGCAGCATAGCACGGGTATATACCTAGTTATTAATTAATTTTTGGCCAGAACTGTCTCTTAAAGCTTTTAAATCAAAACCTTTTCTGATTTCTCTCTCTTTTTTTTTTTTTTTTTTTTTTTATTCATTTTAAGAGCTATCGTGAGAGATAGTCTAAGATTCAATTTTCAAACCCACAAAAACCTGATAAAAAGTCAACCAAAAGAGAAGAACACGATCCAGTCACTCGAGATTATACCAATCAATCAGTCTTTACTACTAAACCAACAAACAACAACAATTTAACCCTTGTTCGAAAAACAAAAAAAACAAACAACAATATATCAGTAATTTAATGGAAGAAAACCTAATCGAATCTACATATACCGCAAGACAAAAAGAAAAGGTAAAAGCCTTTATAAACAATTAAATGGCTATCGTTTAAAGCCTCCAATATGAATTCAGGAATAACAAAAAAAAAACTGCAGATGGGGGAATCTCAAAATCGAAAATAAATCTCAAAATCGAAAATGAAGTAGTGTATAGGCAAAATATTCGATTTTGGTGTTCATCACAAAACTTTTGTTTAACAATGGGCTCTCTTATTTGCACCAGTATTGGGCTGTTGCAGCAATTAGAACATGTCCAATGGTTTAAATAAAGGCTAACTCAAATGTGATATTATAATATTATAAGAGCATCTATAATGGAGAGTTTGCTAGAGTTCTTAACTAAAAAGAAAAAAAAAGAAAAAAAAAAAAAGTTGGCAGACAAAAGGTAGAATCGATTCCTATTGTAGAGTCTTTAGGATGGATTCTTAGACCAACTCTATCGGAGTCTTTTAATAGAGTTTCTAGTTATAAAAAAAATAATAAAAAAAGAAATAAAGAGAAAAAAGAGAAGATACGTCTCTTCTTTAGTGATTTTAAGATACATATGTAGACATATGTAAATTAATTATTGGTGGGCTTCCTTTTTTATTTGAAATTTAATTAAATAAATAAATTATAATATTTTTATATACCTTAGATACTTAACTCCGTCTCTTCTTTAGTGATTTACCATTTATATCAATAAATTAATTTAATAATATATTTATTATTAAAATATATTTAAGAACCTCAATATAGAGTTCATCATTGTGGGTGTTCTTAAATTGTTCTAAAATGATTTAATTAAAATTAAAATTTTAAATTTAAATAAAAACTTTCACCAATAAAAATATGCTAAACAATACAAGAATATTTCAATTTTTTTTTTTGAATATTTCAAACAAAAACTTTCTAAATACCTTTTCTTCTTTTCATTTCTATTTTTCAAATTTTTTTTTTTGATAGTAAAATAATCTTCTAAATACTACTATCAATAAGATTGTTTTTATATTAATATTTAAAATATTATTAAATTGATAATAGATTTTTTACAAGTCTCTCGACAATGCAAATATTTTTAGACTGAAATCAAGCATAATAACAGATTTCACCTCTATGTTTGTTATGCTTGATTGCGACAATTTTCTTTTAATAACAAACTAGACAATAGCCACAGCCAATTTTTGCGGGAATATACCTGGCTTGCACTTTAATGCAAGCAACAATAGGTTTTGTGGCTTTCAGATGCCCACTTTGGAAGCTGAATAATTTGAAGATATTTTGCTTTTTTCTGATTTTTGTTGATGGAAAGGCCTGATCAAGAAATCAACCAAAAGAGAAGAATACGATCCAATCATTGGAGATTATACCAATCAGTCTTGTACCATTAAAACAACAAACAACAACAATGAAAAACAGTTGTATTCCATAAAGAAATGGCTGAAGCACCTCCCGTAAAGAAAACCAGACTTTTCAGAAAAGATGTGGTGCCGAAGGTGGTGATTGTCTCGTTCCATGAAAGATCTGATGATGCGCTTTGATATGGGTTATCCAAATGGCATCGGAATTTTCGACCTCCCTTCATGTATTCTTGCATCTTGGCTGGAGACATGAAATATACACAAAGGTAAATTCAATTCCAAAATTTTTGTATTTTGTTAGCTTAGCTTAAAATCGGTTATAGGTTTCGTTGAGTTGGTATAAGCAGTTGGTAATCAACCGGTGGAAATTTTTTTTTTATTGGGTTCAACTTTAACATTTAAAACAAAAATAATAACAGTTTTTTATATATTATTCTCGATAAAGCTAAACAATCATTAAAAAATTCATCATCCATCGGATTGCTTTGTTTTCACTATTAGATTTCCATTTATGTAGAAATTATTAAGTTCAAATTTAATTTCACTATTTTTTTTTTTTTCAAACATTTCACTCTTTCTAAACATGTTTGATGATAAAGCCTAATATAAAATATGGGCTTTATGAGGTCATATCAAATAAAACAAAGTTAGGAAAACAAAAAATTTATATATTCAATTATAAATTTAGATTAGTGTCAATATTATTAAATTTTTAGAAATTATAGAGAAATTTATAATTAATACAGTGTCAGTTGACACCGTATGATCCTTATTAGACTCCATTGTACCTGGCTTGCACTTTTATGCTAGCAACAAAGAGCTTCGCAGCTTTCAGATGCCTTCTTTGGAGATTCATGTGCAGCAAGAGATGATTGCTGATGAGTGAGAAATGTTGTTCTTGGATATAAGAAACAGATTGGAGAATTGTCGGAATCAAAAGCTGCTTTTGTTGGATATAGGAAAGAGACTACAGCTCTGAAAAATGTGCTAGTCGAATGTGAGAGAGGAAGAAACGAATGCATCAGTGAACTATGTTTCTTCAAGAACATGATAGTGTGTGAAATTGGAATGGCTGTGTTTTACTATTACTTTGTGGCTTAATGATTAGTTGTATCCATCATTTGTCTTGTGTGTTGTAAGAATTGGAGTTTTAACTACATATTGAGTAACACCAAGATTCAAAGTTTAATCTTCATACATTAATACGTAGTACCAAAATATTAAAAGGTAACTGGAATCCAAAGCAAAGCAACACAAACAAAGTAAAAAAAAAACAGCAACTCAAAGCAAAATAACACCAATTCCAAGCTTGAATCTTCACCATTATACATCGATCCACACAACATGTACAGTCATCAACTTTCTCCAATAATTTGTCCCAAGGTTGCCTTGTACAATTGTATTTCTTTCATCTCTTTATATTCTTACTCATCGAATCAATTATGCTTTTTTTATCCCTCAAAATCAATCAAAGTAATGTATATACAAGTTAAAGCTCTATGTGACAAGAAGAGTCTAGTACATATGATTAAGAAGATCATTCAACGAACACAAGGTGGCATGAATTTGATGCCCTAACCACACCATCCAACTCCATGAGCATCTTATATCTCTCTTCCAACTTGCTGAGCTCTTTGTATTGAATGGGTCTTGCGGAGATCGTTGCATTCTTCAGACGTTTTGCATTCCTTAGAATGTAAGTAGCCACTTCTATCTCCTCTTCTCTATCCCAATTATATATTGTCCACACAAATTTCTCGAGATGGGACAACAAACATTCAGGGACATACTCTGGTTCCCTCCACTTTTCCATGACAGGCCACTTAGTTCTACCATAATGCAAATTTTCGTCAATCTAGGCAAAGAGGAACGCAATGAATATTACTGATGGAAAATTAACCCCAAACATAGAATAATGAAATGTCTTACATAAACGAGCTTGAGAACTTGTAATTTAGGAGAGCTATCGAGCATGAGCGCAAGTACTCTCCACCACTCCGCTTTATTTGTATACATCTCTAGATATACCAGCCGATAAAAGATAGCTCCGGTAGGAAACTTAATCTACGAATAAAGATCGTATTAGTATAAGTACCTTAAACAACAAATAAGTGAATTGCTATAAATAAATAAATAAATAAAAAAGTTACCTCCAAGGGTGATAAGTCCAAGAGAAGACGTTTGCATGACTTGAGAGATTCCAGTATCATATCATTGACCATCTTCGAAACGTTTCTAATAGTTGCCCTAACTAGCTCGGGCGCATTCAGACAAAACTCATAGCCTTTTAACCTTTCAACTTCTAAGTATTTCAAACAAGGAGCGTTTATCACATATACCCCACCCTTGAATCTTCCATCACTGTAATCGTGTATGGATAGTCTCTTCAAAGATGGCGCCACAATGGTGTAACTCCTTCCAACTTCAACAAGATGGAAATCTCGACACAAGACCAGGTTTTCAAGATTCGGGCAGCCAGATAAAAGGTTACGAAAAGATTCATCGTCTTTGTATGTCACGAATACAAGGTGAAGAGTTTTAAGGGACTTCATAGAAACCGGAGAAGGAACATGCAGCTGAATCAAATTCTCGAGTTTCAAAGTCTCAAGTGAAGCAGAGAAAAACAAGCTACTCGGAAAAGGGACTAGTTTGTAAGAGAAAACATCTAGTACGAACTCACGCACATGGCGTGCAAATGCAATTCCAGCCAGTACTCCGATATCTCCAATATCACATGAATCTCTTACTCTCAGATGCAAACTCTCTAGAACCGGAGCTTGATGTAAAAGCAAAGATCTGCCAACGTTCGTTGCAAATTTCTTAATGGGAGATACAAACTCGAGCCTCGGCACCATCTTCCAAAGAGATCGCCATCCTTTAGACAAAACACTCGTGGCTATGGCATCTTTTGTTGCAAGTAAAGACAATATCTGCAGAAGCAAAGCCTCAGGCAACTCACTGATCCTGTCCTCATTCATAGCACCTCGCCTTGTCAAACTTTCACCATTAAAATCAAATTAAGGAAAAATTAAGAGAGCTTACGATTAAGAAACCATATAGTAACGCGACTCTTATATATAAGAACATATATAAACGAAACAGAGAAACATACCGTTGTTCCATTATTGTTGATAGAGACAATAGTTTAGTTAGATCAGTGCGTTGTTGGTATGAAGAGAAGATTCAGATTTAGGGTTTTGATGTTATAACAAGAGTTGTTCATAGAGTATGGTAGAGAAACGACACACGAACACGAAACCAGTGGAACAAACAATTTTTATTTAAACCGATCGGTTCTATTCGGGTGGGAAGTTTAAAACGAACCGGATCCAACATGATCAGCCAAACCCAAACATGGTTGATACTTGGTTACTTTCTTCGAACTTGGGTTTAATGATGCTGAAAGGGTCCTATAATTATTAACCGATCGGTAACAATTTGATACCCATATTTTCATCTGGTCGTCTTCACTATTGAAATTTTTTTTGATTCATCAAATTTGTCTTTTGTACAGAAGTGAAATAAAACATAGATTTTGTAACGGAGCAAGGAAACGAGTGCATTGGACGAGTAATGTACAAAACCACAAGATAACCTTACTTAAGAAGTTAAACGCCTACAAAATCTTCAAGAGTCAAAACGAATGATACAAAGAAGAAAAAGAAAAACACAATTGTTACAATCCAGACTTTTTGGCTGTCATTTCACAAATAAATAAAAGAAAAGAGAATGATGGAATTGCTTCAAAAAAAAAAAAATTAATAAGGATTGTAACGGCTTCTTCCTCTACCATTGTCGCTACTTCGTTTGCTGCTGTTGCTGCTGCTCGAACCGCCTCCCCTATACGGTGGTGAAGGCCTTGGTGGTGGTTGTGGCATTGCTGCTAGTCCAGGCTGTTGCCTGGTGATGGTCATCACAAAAAAAGATTAGTACACGTGTCTTACATCAAACGCATGAGATCAGTACACGTGTACAGAGAAGACTTACAAGACGTATCCGATTCGTCCATCGGGTAACATGATTGGCATCATCGACATTCCGCCAGCTGCGTGACCTCCCGCATGCATTAACGGCTGCATAAATAACCAGACTCAGGTTTTGTTATAAAAGCTAACATTTTCTCAAGAAAACGAAATGTGAGTCAAGTAATAAATCTCACTTGTGAGTAAGGAGAAGCTCCAAATCCACCAAGAGCACCAAAGGGACTAGGAGCCATGCCATAGCTAAGAAGAGGAGGATAGTTTGGTTGCAGCTGTGATTTCTGCAGATTCTGAACTGAAGTTGTATTCGCCTTTTGCTCCGCTTGAGGCTTTGCAAGAGTACAATCCAAAATGTGACCTGTAAAATAATGAGGGCCATGCCACACATTCAAGTATTAGAAAACATTGATTGATGGAAGAGAATATAGTAAAACAGATTATCTATAATCTGTATGGACCGTACCATCAATCTCATATCTTTCAGTGTTTTTCAAAGCTCTCATGACGCTTGTCCTCTCTGCGTAGTGCACAAACCCATATCTACTGTCTTCTTTTCCTGGTTTTGCTGGTGGAACCACCACTTTCAGGATTTTCCCGTGATGTTCGAATAACGCCTTTAGACGTTCTTGCGTTATATCTCTAGGTAAGTTCTTGATGTACAACGCCTTGACCTGCATTCAATCCACACACGACGCACAATGTTAAGCCATCACGTTTCATGATTTAGAGAAAGGATTAGGTAGATAACTGTTGCTGCTTTCTGTTATTTGTTTGCAAGAAAGGTTTCAAAGAAGCAAACCTGCGAAGCAGAAGAGTCTCCTCCTCCTCCTCCACTCCTTGATTCAGCCCAGCTCACAGTTGGGGCATTGTCATCAAGCTTAAAACTTGGATTTGACATTTTTTGTTTCGAGTATTCAGCACACGCATGGTTGTAATACTCGAGGAAAGCAAATCCACGATTCCGGCTCATATTTTGTGGATCCTGCAAACCAGATTTGACAGTGATTCAGTTAATGAGCAACGCAACGTGTGTCTAGGACCTCTACACAGAAAAAATTACTTCCGCGGTTTGTAATTAGACATGAAAGCGAGATGAATGTTGCAGAGATAAGATATACATATGCACTAAAGGCTGAAGGAGACAAACCTTTGGGAGTTCGACATTTTGGACGCCTGGACCAATTCTATTTGCTGCTTTCTTAATGTCTGTCTCTGTCCAATTTCTAGGAACATTACCAAGAAACAGACGGTGCTTGGCTTGAGTAGTCGAACATTTGATCCTTTTACCCTATTGAAAAGGACCAAAAAAGTAACATTTAAGGCACAGATTCATGCAATCTCACTCGAATGACCATAAACTGTCAAGAATTGGGTCAAGGAAGATTACCTTAAACTCAGTGTTATTTAGATTATCGATTGCTTCAGATGCCAAGTCCTTGTTTCTGAACGTTACAAATGCGTACCCTTTGCCATCACCAGACTCTTTCTCCCTCATTATCCTAACCTGTTGACACCAAAACAAACTCAGCACGAGCTAAATTTTATATACACAGAGCCATAACGTGGGTTGATTTATAAATGTCAAGCTTACCTCAGTAACTTCGCCTATCGATTCACAGAAGCCCTTCAAGTCCCCTTCAGAAGCATCAGTAGGGATGCCTCCAAGATAAACCTCTGAGCCATGCGGAGGAAGTGCTAAGAGCTCGTCGTGCTTCTTCTTTTCCTCTTCCTCCTCCGTTGCAGCAGCAACATCGTCTTCCACCTCTTCTTCTTCCACCTCCTCTTCAATCTCCTCGATTATCTCTTCAATCTCCTCCTCCTCTTCGACTTCTTCGTACTCAACCTCCTCCTCCAGAGTCTCCTCGGGATCATTGTCACCATCAAGGTCTACCCTCTCCTCAGATTCCATGGAGTCGTGGGCCTCTGAAGCAGCGGTCCTCGTCCTCGACATGATAAGTATCTAGAAAAGAAAGCTTGCGCTGCAACTGTGGAGGAGACACAGAAGCAAGAAGCAATTGGGGAGAGAGAATAGAAAAATGAAGGAAAGGTTTGGAAAAGAAACAGTAAGAGGCCGATAGAAAAGAAGAGAAAGAAGTTCGGATTGGCTCTCTGCCATCAATAACAAGAGGGCGATGAATGCTTAAACAAAACTGAGAAAAATTCAGAAACTTGAGAAAGAAAGATATGAATGTGGCCCATGAGAGCCGAAAGAAAAAACATGATATCATCATCATCATCATAGGCCTTGGTTAGATGCAAAAGAGGGGTTAAAAAGAAGAAGTAGCTAAGAATAACCCACTTAGATAACTCCAAGCTCCATGTTAGATCTCCCAACACACACACTGTTCAGAATTGCAAAAGTGACGATTTTTATGCTTATAAACTACAAATTCTATACGGATTATTCAGGCATTCTTACACGATTAGAGCAAAAAAAAAATTGTTTTCACCAATATCAAGCAGAAACACGAACCGAGAGCAACCCAATAACCCCGTAAGAAGCTGAACTCGCAAAATCCCAAAGAGAAGTAAAAAAAAATCAGATCCCCAAAACAAAACAATCACGGAAGGAGGCGAAGAGAGGCGCAATGAGATGAAACGCGAGAGGGAGAGAGAGAGAGAGGGTACCTGAAAAGGCGAGAGAGGGGAGAGAGAGCTGCCGGAAGAAAACCCTAATTTAAGAATTATTAACGGAGGGGAGGGGAGGAAGTGTTTCGCGCAGCTCAGGAGGAAATAGTGAACCTTTTATTCTTTCTTTGGGGATTGTATGTATGTGTAATTTGGTCTGTATGACCTAAAAAGCCTTGAGTGATGTTATAAGGATACGAAGTTATTGAGTTCTTTTAAAAAGATAAAACTTTTAAAAATAAGCCCGACAAAACAAAACTTTAGGTAAATGAAGATTTATAAATTTTAAGTTTGGTGGATGTAAATAATAGGGGTGTAATTATCTATCAATCCAACTACATACCAAAATTTTGACAAACTCACTACAATTTTATTATGATGGAAAATGTCTTCAAATGCATGTTATATTTCTTTTTTAAGACATTGCTTTTGAAATTAACTAGGAATAGTTCGCGGGTTAATCTCCGATATATTAAAAATTAGAGTTAATTTGCAATCTAACCATATTAGTAAAAGAATCCAAAAATATAGCTATGCTATTCAAAAATATGGAAAGTAACTATGGCCCACAGAGAAAAGACTAAAAAATCCTTCTGTTTTAAATGAAAACGTATTGATTGATCGATCATTAGGCTAAAAAAAATAGTATAGTAGTGTACTACAAATATTACTTAATAACATACTACATCAACTGAGTATAGTATAGTAGTGTACTCCATTTGAAATATTGTGACCAGTTTACTTTTCGGGTATCTATAGATGTGGAATTTGCGTTGGAAAATGTCTTATATGAAGATGAATTCATGAGACGATAATATTGGTAAGGATGAGGAGTTAGTAGATACTCATACAATATGGAGTCAATTCTCATAATGATAGTATAGTACGATATAAAATAATATATTTGTACAACTATTAATAGTATACTACACCAACTCAGTATAGTATAGTAATGCAATCTATTTGTTGATTTAAACGAAGGAGTTTTTGGTATATATTGTAGAATATATGAACAATATAATAACACCTATTTTGGTATGGTTACTTTCTAAATTTTATGTTTATATGGCCAATTTCCCTAAAAATTAAACAGAAGTTTATTTAAAATAATTATAAGTAAGATACATAAAATAAAAAATAAAAAGTAATAGTAAAAAAATATAAATATCTAAAATAACTTATAATAAATCTGAGGTTGCAACTTGCATTTATATAAGATTAAATCACCCATACAAAAAAAACTCATTTAGTTAGGATTTTGCTATTTGTAACTCTATCAATTTGGAACCAACATTTGACTATTGGCAAATAATAACCAAATGATTAAGTATTAATTCTATTTAGGAACTTTAAAAACGAATATAAAAACATTATATCTTTATTTAAAAAATGACATAAAACATTATATCACATAATAGCGTTCTAACAACATTATGAAAATATATTTTTATTTGACTTTTTCATTTTATTTGAAATGAAATAAGGATCTTTGATAATCATTAATGTCAGTGATGCTTTCATAATCTATTTTTATTATGCCCCAAAACACATTTCATGGGGATGGTCGATCCGGTCTGGACGGAAAGCAACTGGGACACGACAAGGGTGCATGTTTACACGGTCCAGCACTCAGCACAACATTGGCTTACATCGAGAACTCTATTGCCAAAACCTTCACTACGTACGAAAGCTTTAAAGCAGGACTCAGCTAATTCATATTAAATTAAATTCTGTATAAACTGTCAAGATAGTTTATCGGAAAATGTCAAATTGAATGAATTTGGGTGAAGATAAAGCCAATCCAAATGGTCGAGAGAGGTTGTCTGAAAAAGTGCCTTTGTTTTGTAGTTTAACAAATATTTTTAAAAACAGCAGTTGAAGCTTAAGCTGGAAACATATATATAGACTAAAGTTATCATAAACCAGTCTCTCTCACAAAAGGTTTTATTTTATCCCTATAGAAATTTATCATAATTTTTTTTGGTAGTCTGTCTTTGACTCGTGAATTGGTCTGGCTCTGAAATTTGATTCTTAGTCAAAGATTCCGAGACTCTTGCTCATTGAATATGGTGTTTCAAAATCTTTCCACATGTAATCACAAAACCTAAATTTAATCATCCAACAACCAAATCGTAGCAGTTAGATGATTAAAGCAGTGAATACCGTATAGTAAAATCTCTAAGTGACAAGAAGAATATATAATTAGATTATTCGGATTCAAACACAAAGTGGCATGAATCTGAAGCCCTAGACAGACAATCCAACTCCTTGAGCATCTTACATCTTTCTTCCAACTTGTCGAGCTCATTGGATCCAATGGGTCTTGTGGAGAAAGTTGCCCTCTTCAACCTTCTTGCGTTCATTAAAATGTATTTACCCACTTGTAACTCTTCTTGTCTTTCCCAGTCATATCTTGTCCATACAAAAGTCTCGAGATGAGACAACAAACAATGAGGGACATTCTTGGATTGATTCCAATGATCCCCCACCTCCATAGGTGTTTTAGTGAAAGCATGTTGCTGCTGATTAGTCCAACACGAGGCAAAGGGAAATGCAATGCATGTCGTTAGATAGACCATCAATGTTAATAACCCGAAAGAGAGAGACGATTCAAAAAAATAGCTAGCTGGCTAATGATATATATAAATATATATATATATATAGACTTACATCAATGAGCTTAAGGACTTGTAATTTAGGAGAGCTATGGAGCATGCACGTAAGTAGATTCCACCACTTCGATCTACGTGTATCCATCTCTAGATATAACAGCTGATGGAAGATTTCTCCAGTAGGACACTTAATCTATATGCATGCATAAAGATCATTAGCTCTAGTGTACAAAAACAGCATACATATAAGTCAATTTGCGATTAGAAAAGTTACATGCAAAGGTGTTAAGCCCAAGGAAAGACGTTTTACTGACTTGAGTGATTCCAGAATCATCTCATTGGCAGTATTATAGACGCCGCGAATATTAGCCCCAACTAACTCGGACGCGTTTTCAATCAAACAAAACTGATAACATGATAACCTTTTGATATCTAAATATTTCAAAGAAGGAGCGTTAATCACATAGCCTCCACCTTTTACTCCACTAATTAAACCAACAATCGATAGTGTCTTCAAGAATGGTGCCACAATATTGAAGGTCACTAAACTCTTATGGCGACCCCGATGCACGATCAAATGCTCAAGGTTAGGGAAGCTAGATAAAAGGTTACCCACAGATTTGTCGTCTTTGTACGTTACCTTTACAAGGTGCAGAGTTCTAAGGGACTTCATGCAAACTGGAGAAGAAACATCTACAAGAAGGGGACCTTGGAGTTTCAAGGTCTCGAGAGTATTAGAGCAAAGCAAGCTAACCGAAAGTCTGTATGTGAATCCACGTGAGAGATTGAGCTCCAGTTCACGCAAATGGCGAGCAGATAGAATTCCAGTCCATATTCCGATATCAATACTCCTTAAAGGACCTTCAACTTTGAAATGAAAACTCTCCACAACCGGAGCTTTGTGTGAAAGCAAAAACCTGACTACATTCACTGAAAATTTCTGTAGTTCCTGATTGTGAGAGTCAAACTCGAGTTTATGCACCATCTTCCAAAGATACCGCCATCGTTTAGACAAAACACTCGTGGATAAGACATTTTTTGTTGGAAGCAGAGACAATATTTGCAGAATCAAAACATCGGGCAACTCACTGATCCTGTCTTCATTCAGAAGACGCCGTTTTCTCGGACTTTTCACCGCCAAAACCAAACAAGGAAACGAACTGATTAAATCAAGAGTGTATTTAGGGTTTATAGCTTTCAGGTTATACTATATATATAACGTTTACAACCAAACAGAACAAACAAACAAAATAGACCGAACCGTAACAGGAAAAGCATATAAGAACATAAACGAAACAGAGAAACATACCTTTGTTGTTCCATTAATAGAAAAAAATAATTTGGTAGATTAGGTTACTGGTTAATTGTGCCTTCCCGTGCACCAAAACGCAGTCGAACAATCAAGAGAGGCCCAAGATCTCGCTGGCCGCTTCACCAGTCGAATCCGGCGACGATTACACAATTTGTGATTAGTTTGTAAAAGGACCTGGTGGGGTGTTAATAAGAAACAGAAAACCTAGGGGATCGATGCTGACATCAGCAGTATTTTTTATTAAGGAAAAGATAGTAAATGATTAGAATTTGTGCTAGTGAGGGGATACATTAACCTAACTGGTCCCAAAAACCATAAGAGATCATTCTAACATTAAACTTGTTGTCAAACTCTCAGACACAACTGTTAGCAATTTATAATGTTTTGTTTCAGCTGAGCTGGTCTAGTATGTCTATATGAGCTAGCTAGCTAGAGAGGCTCGTGGATTGTTGTTTAATAATCTAAGACCTTTCGCCAAACCAATTGAAGGACTTACTGTTGGAACCAGGCCTAAAAAAGACCCGTTTAACCAGTTCAGCTTAGATCAAGACTTTGGCACAAATAAGAAATGGAAATTGGCGGTCCAAATTTGAAGACAGGGGCAAATTGGAAGTTCAAATTCGGTAAAAAGCCTACGAAGCCCACATAACTATCGCCTTAATTTACTATAAATAAGATCGCATATACAGTACGAAAAAGGACAATTTTCCAGGATTAAGCTCTAAACATGCTCTAAATAAATTCTCATTTGTAGAGGTTCTCATTTTGAGGTTCTGTTTTGGAAGTTTTGGTTTTTGAGCTTCTCCTTTTGGAAATCCTTTTTTTGGGAATCTCTCTTTTAGTATTTTTAGTCTGTTGTTATAATCGTTCAGCTTATTTTACCAATAAAATTGTATTATTCAGAAAGTTGGATTCCAACTTCAACAGTGGAATAAGGATCTTTGATCATCATTAATGTCACGTGAAGCTTACATAATCTCTTTTCTTAATCTATTTTTATAATGCGCCAAAACACATTCTATGGGGATGGTCGATCCGGTCTGAACGGAAAGCAACTGGGACACGACAAGGGTGCATGTTTACACGGTCCAGCACTCAGCACAACATTGGCTTAAATCGAGATTTCTATTGCCAAAATGTAAGCAGGACTCAGCTAATCAATATTAAATTCTGTATAAACTGTGAAAATGTCCAATTGAACGAATATGGGTAAAGATAAAGCCAATCCAAGATAGTTTATCGGAAAATGTCAGAAAAAGTGCCTTTGTTTGTAGTTTGGTACCTCGTTCATATTTAACAAATATTTTTAAAAAACAGCAGTTGAAGCTTAAGCTGGAAACATATAGAGTATACTAAAGTTATTAAATGGTCAAGTAACGTAGATATTTCTAGCAAAAAGTGAAAGACATATGTAATGCATAAACCAGTCTCTCTTACAAAAGGTTTTATTTTATCTCTATAGACATTTATCATAAAAAAAAATTGGTACAAATTTTCAATTTTATAATAGTTGGTGGTGTAGTCTGTCTTTGAGAAACTCGTGGATTGGTTTGGCACTGAAATTTGATTCTTAATCAAGATTCCGATACTCTTGCTCATTGAATCGTGTTTTTAAATCTTTTCCACATGTAATCACAAAACCTAAATTTAATCATCCAACAGCCAGATCGTAGCAGTTAGCAGCATACTCCGAAATCCAAATCATGTACACACAAATCCCTTCTAATTAAAGCAGTAAATACCGTATAGTAAAATATCTAGGTGACAAGAAGAATATATAATAAGATCATTCGGATTCAAACACAAGGTGGCATGAATCTGAAGCCCTAGACAGACCATCCAACTCCTTGAGCATCTTACATCTCTCTTCCAACTTGTCGAGCTCATTGGATCCAATGGGTCTTGTGGAGAAAGTTGTCCTCTTCAACCTTCTTGCGTTCATTAAAATGTATTTAGCCACTTGTAACTCTTCTTGTCTTTCCCAGTCGTATCTCGTCCATACAAAAGTCTCGAGATGAGAAAACAAACAATGAGGGACATTCGTGGGTTGATTCCAATGATCCCCCACCTCCATAGGTGTTTTAGTGAAAGCATGTTGCTGCTGATTAGTCCAACACGAGGCAAAGGGAAATGCAATGCATGTCGTTAGATAGACCATCAATGTTAATAACTCGAAAGAGAGACGATTCAAAAAATAGCTAGCTGGCTAATGATATATATATATATATATATATATATATAGACTTACATCAATGAGCTTAAGGACTTGTAATTTAGGAGAGCTATGGAGCATGCACGTAAGTAGATTCCACCACTTCGATCTACGTGTATCCATCTCTAGATATAACAGCTGATGGAAGATTTCTCCAGTAGGACACTTGATCTATGCATGCATCATAGATATAATCAGCTAGCACTAGTGTACAAAAAACAGCACACATATACGTAAGTGCGAGTAATAAAAAATTACCTGCAAAGGTGATAAGGCCAAGGAAAGACAGTTTCACTGACTTGAGTGATTCCAGAATCATCTCATTGGCAGTATCATAGACGCCGCGAATATTAGCCTCAACTAACTCGGACGCATTTTCAATCAAACAAAACTGATTACCTGATAACCTTTTGATATCTAAGTATTTCAAAGAAGGAGAGTTAATCACATAGCCTCTACCATTTACTCCACTAATTAAACCATCAATCGATAATGTCTTCAAGAATGGCGCCACAATATTGAAGGTCACTAAACTCTTATGGCGACCTCCATGCACGACCAAATGCTCAAGGTTAGGGAAGCTAGATAAAAGGTTACCAACAGATTTGTCGTCTTCGTACCTCACATTCACAAGGTGCAGAGTTCTAAGGGACTTCATGCAAACTGGAAAAGGAACATCTACAAGATGGGAACCTTGGAGTTTCAAGGTCTCGAGAGTATTAGAGCTAAGCAAGCTCATCGAAAGTCTGGATAGGGATCCACGTGAGAGTTGGAGCTCCAGTTCACGCAAATGGCGAGCAAGTAGAATCCCAGTCCATATTCCGATATCAATACTCTTGAAAGGACCTCTAACTTTGAGATAAAAACTCTCCACAACCGGAGCTTTGTGTGAAAGCAAAAACCTGACTACATTCACTGAAAATTTCTGTAGCTGCTGATTGTGAGAGTCAAACTCGAGTTTATGCACCATCTTCCAAAGAGACCGCCATCGTTTAGACAAAACACTCGTCGATAGGACATTTTTTGTTGGAAGCAGAGACAATATTTGCAGAATCAAAGCATCGGGCAACTCACTGATCCTGTCCTCATTCAGAAGACGTCGTTTTCTCGGACTTTTCACCGCCAAAACCAAACAAGGAAACGAACCGATTAAATCAAAAGTGTATTTAGGGTTTATAGCTTTCAGGTTATACTATATATATAACGTTTACAACCAAACAGAACAAACAAACAAAATAGACCGAACCGTAACGGATAAGCATATACGAACATATATAAAACGAAACAGAGAAACATACCTTTGGTGTTCCATTAATAGAGACAATAATTTGGTAGATTAGGTCACTGGCTAATTGTGCCTTCCCGTGCACCAAAACGCAGTCGAACAATCAAGGGAGGCCCAAGATCTCGCTGGCCGCTTCACCAGTCGAATCCGGCGACGATTACTTTACCTGGCGAGGTGTTTGGTAACGCAGTTGCCTTTCCCATCATAATAATACGAAAACCAAAAACCTAGGGGCTGCTGACATCAGCATTTTTTTCTTTTTTATTAAGGAAAAGACAGAAAATGATTAGAATTTGTGCTAGTGAGGGGATACATTAACCTAACTAGTCCCAAAAACCATAAGAGATCATTCTAACATTGCTTTCAACCTAATTGATGTGATGTCTCCTAGAGTAACCTACGATTAAAACTTGTTGTCAAATTCTCAGACACAACTGTTAGCAATTTATAATGTTTTGTTTCAGCTGAGCTGGTCTAGTATGTCTATATGAGCTAGCTAGCTAGAGAGGCTCGTGGGTTGTTGTTTATACATGATTCTTAAATCAAGATTTCGATACCAAGTTTTTGAGCCTACAAGAGTTAACTGCTTTATTCAGATATGTACGTTATACACGAATTTCTCCAATATCCACTATCAAAGCACAATACAAATTGGAACAATTTATTTATTTTAAAACAATTATTTTTATATTGAAAAAGTTGTATCTACTTAATTTTTTTAATATATTTTTTATCCGCACAATAGAAATACCTCAATTTTTTTCCTAAAGGGAGTTTCAAAAGTCGAAACAATAAAATCGACAAGAAAAAATCTCCGACCTCCCACCGCGTAATTCCGAACTAGGTTTCTTATCTCCGGCGATCGTAGCTCTCTCTCTCTCTCCTCTTCAATTCTCAGGTACTCTTTCTCCTCTCATATCTCGCGCTTCTCTACCAAATGCTTGTTCCGATTCTGGGCTCACAAAACGATTTACCATTTTTCTGGGTAGCTTCCGCTGATTGCAACTCTCTGACGGCAGCCATGGCAATGGGACTTCCTCGTCTTGTTGCTACTGCTTTTACACTCCTTCTAGTTGCAGTCCTTCCTCTCCCTATCTCCTTCGCAGGTGAGATTTTCCCTGATCATATTTGTGTCTTTCTTCTTCCCGTTGAAATGCGTTAGCTTCCGTTTCAGAGATTTTTTGTGATTACAATTCAATTTCGGCTCATCTTGGAATAATCTCACACTCTTTCCTGTTTTTGTGTGTGTGTGTGTGTGTAGGTGAGATAACGTCTATTGAATCAGTCCCGGACCTTCATAAGCTAATGTATGTTGCTGTTGATGGGTATCCTTGTGTACGGCTTCTCAATCTCTCTGGAGAGATTGGATGTTCAAGTAAGCTTGCATTGGGCTTCCCTAACTGATTGTTATTTGTTTATTAGCTGCCCTAATGTTTATGCTTACAAATACTCAGATCCTGGATTGAGTAAGGTGGTCGCTCCAATCATAAGACTAAAGGACGTTAAAGATTTGGCTGAGCCACACACTATCTTGGTGTCAGCTGATGAAATGGAAGATTTCTTTCTCAGGCATGTTCCTTTTTATGCAATCTGTTCGATTTAGAATCAATCTTGTATTTTACCATTAATGTAGTCACTTGGTTGTTAGTGCATTTGGTTGTTAGTGCATTTACTATTCACTAGATATCCTGTGATTCGTTTGATTTTGTACATTTCTCAGACACTCTGTCAAAATATAAATGACATTTATTGGTGCTATTCTCAGGGTGTCAAGTGATTTGAGTTTTGCTAGCAATATTGGTGGTGTTCTAGTTGAATCAGGAACTAGCTTTCAACAAAAGTTAAAAGGTACTATGTCAATCCGCATATTTTATGTTTCTGTCTACTTTGAATGGCTGTTTTCTTATCTATGTTCATTGCGTTAGTGTTACTTTCTTCTTTGTTGTAGGTCTTTCTCCTGATAAAATGTTTCCTCAAGCGGAGTTTTCACCATATGCAAACGTTGAGTACAAATGGAATCCAGCTGTATGGTATCATAAACTCTTTCTGAATCTTTCAAGTTACTTCTTCTTGTGATGCATGTATGTGGGTTAGGATTTATCTTAATCAGTTATCACCAAATAAATTGTCAAGCAATTCCGAGTTATATATGCTATTTCTTTCTGGAATTATAATTCACTACATGCTAACACATCATTGATCTCTATCTTGTGGTTTGTTGTTGGTACATATTTTGAAATGAAATGCTTTTATGTGCTCAAATTATCAGTTACAAAGAAGTTCATAAAACAGCCGTATATTATATACCTTAATAAAATGATATTGCCTCTTATCCTTTTTCCGTGGAGAAGAAAGTGATTTTAATTTTTACGAGTCTCGCATGCGATAGGTCTCTAACCATCTACTATTATAAAGTAAACGATACGTTTTATTTGCAGGCATCAAGCATTATGTGGAAAGCCTATAATTTTCCTGTGTACTTACTGTCAGAAAGTGGCATAACAACTGTGCAGGAGGTAATCCTTCAAACTCGCATTCTTTTCGAAATTATAAATGTTTCTATTTCATTGTGGCATCTAAGAAAATAAATAAAGGCTTAGAGTGGAACTATGGCTGTTGGTCACTCTTAAGTGGAATATTGTTTCATGAGACCTGCCTCTCAGTATCATATGAAATCATGACTTTGGACTTGATATATTAGCATGCAAGTAAATAGTCAACAGCACATTAGATCATATGTTTTTGTTATTACCAGATGAGGTTCTATCAAAAAGCTAGATTTATGTATTTTGCTGTGTTGGTAGCAACCCAAATGTGCGTGGCTGTCAATTTATCTGGATAGATCTAACTTTTAAGGTTTTTGACTATATACTTGTATGCTAATATATTTGTGCAGTTCCTATCTAAGAAAGAGATGAAGCATAAACCTTATACCAGTGACGTCGCTGAATTCAATATGGTTATGGAGGTATTTGGCTTTAGCAATCTAGCTCACTAGAATGTTAAACATCTTTATGAATCTTCACTGTGACTAATATTTTGACCCCGTTATTTTATGGATTAGACTACCAAAGCTGGTACACACAATTCAGAGGCCTGTTTACAGGAAGGAACTTGCCTCCCATTGGGCGGATATAGGTAACATTTTAGGAAATTTAAATGCTCTTAAGTATCGTATGATTTCCAAACATATGTAACTTTTCAAAGGATAAGTTTGTTTTTTCTAATATCTTTGTTTTGAAGGACAGTGTTTGGTCCTCGCTTCCACCAATCAATGTTTTGTCTTCCAACAATCGCAAGCCAGTTGTGCTAACTGTGGCCTCCATGGATTCTGCATCATTTTTCCGTGACAAGAGCTTTGGTGCAGATTCACCGATATCTGTGAGATTTTGCTATTTACTGCTTTTGGGTTGACCTAGAATATGTTTATTTACTCTTATTTCCCGATTAAATGCTCATTGACTTCTTTAACTTTCAGGGACTTGTAGCTCTTCTGGGAGCAGTTGATGCTCTTTCTCGAGTTGATGGTTTTAGCAATCTCAAAAAGCAGGTGCCAATGAATAAATATGATTGACAAATATATTGAGTTTTTAGAACACATCACTGTGTCATATGATTTTGTAATATATCATGCTTTTGTTGTTAGCTAGCTTTAATACCAGAGGTATATTTGCATTTTGCTGTGTTTTGGCTCTTATAGCTTTACGTGTGTATCCTAAATGAATGCAGCTTGTATTTTTGGTTCTGACCGGAGAGACGTGGGGTTACCTTGGCAGCAGGAGGTTCTTACACGAACTAGATCTGCATTCAGATGCTGTTGCAGGCCTTAGCGATACTCCAATTGAAACGGTAATATTTGTTGTTTTCTCGTTGCTGTAACGTATTTGTTCCTTTGTAGCACAGAAAGCAAATTTATTGCTTCATTAGTGTTCCTTGTGATATTGAGGCTTCACGGTTCTCTGAATCTGAAGATCCGGATTCATATTGCTGTCTTCTATAAACAAACAGGTGCTTGAAATAGGATCCGTTGGAAAAGGTTTGAGTGGAGGGATGAATACCTTCTTTGCTCATAAAACTAGGGTGAGAAATTCCTGAAACTCTTACGTAATTCATGAGATCATGTGAATCTGCGGTAGGCGACTTAACCTCCACTTTTGGTGTTCCGCTTTAGGTTTCTTCTGCCACAAACATGACACTGGATGCTTTAAAGATAGCTCAGGATTCACTTGCAGCAAAGGACGTCAAGATTGTTTCAGCTGATACTACAAACCCTGGAATTCCTCCATCATCCTTAATGGCATTCATGAAAAAGGTATATATATATATAGATAGTTCAAATTTGTATTCAGAGTTTGAAATAGAAAGTAACTCTTCAAATATAGACACATTCAGTTGATATATGAGCACGGATGTTTTTATATCATTTAAATAATCATGAATATGACAGGAAAAGTAACACTTATTGCTTAATTGGTTATGAATCAGATGGCCTAGAGTGAAAAAAAAGGTTTAACATCATATTTAATTGTTGCAGAATCCTCTGACTTCAGCTGTTGTTCTTGAAGACTTTGATACCAAGTTTGTGAATAAGTTCTACCATAGCCACCTCGATGATTTGTGTAAGAAGAGTCACAGCCTGTCTTTCTCTTCTTCTCGCTCCGAAACCCACTTTGCACTCTTCTGATTCCTTTCTGTTATCTGTATTGCAGCAAATATCAATTCCTCATCTGTAGTAGCTGCTGCTTCTGTCGTGGCCCGTACGCTTTACATACTTGCAAGTGACAGCAAAGATACAAGCAACTCAGCTCTGGGATCTATCAATGTCAATGCTTCTTTCGTTGAAGAGCTTCTAGCCTGTCTTTTATCTTGTGAGCCGGGCTTATTATCATGCGACTTGGTGAAAGATTATATCGCACCAACAAACACTTGCCCAGGCAACTATGCTGGCGTCATCCTCGGAGAACCTTCCTCCAAACCTTACCTTGCTTACGTCGGTGATGTTTCTAGATTCCTATGGAACTTTCTTGCTGACAAAACATCTCTCCAAAAGGGAAACACAACCTCGGTTTGTTCAAAAGGAGTCTGTACCAAAACCGGCGAAGTGTGCATCAAAGCAGAGAGCAGCAAGGAAGGAACATGCGTTGTCTCCACAACCAGGTAAACTCTTTTCGCCTGGAACTGGCATTTTTGGTTTGCATGCTCTCTACGCAACTAAATCATAAGCTAGTGATGTCATATCAGCAAGTTAGAGTCTCGATGGCCTAACACATTACGTCATGGTGTTGTGTGGCAGGTATGTTCCAGCATATTCAACCCGGTTGAAGTATGACGATGGAGCTTGGACGATTCTTCCCCAAAACACATCGGATTCTATGGGAATGGTTGATCCGATATGGACGGAGAGCAACTGGGACACGATAAAGGTGCATGTGTACACGGTGCAGCACTCAGTATACGACAATGCAGTCCTTGTCGCAGGTGCTACAGCCACAACACTGGCTTACATCGGGATTTTAGTTGCAAAATCCTTCATTACAAAAGCCTTAAAGCAGGACTGAGACTTGTATTTATGATTCGGCAACACCAATTTTACTGTGGTAAAAGCTTATTTTGTCAACAAAAGGTCTCTCATTTGAGCTAATTCATATTAAATCCTCAATAATTTCATTGTATTTATATAAGAAGAAAGAAGCAAACTGGACTAAAGAAGTTCTTAAAGTGGAGAGTGATCATCAAATACATAAGGCATAAGCATCTACAAAACCATTCAAATGATGATCATCGTTACATGAACAAATGCTTGAATTCTCCATTTGCTAGCTTACAAAGCTCGTTGAAGTTCTGTGGATCTACAAAACAGAATCACAAGCAAAAACCTCAATACAATTAAAATGAGCTCTAAGATTGCATCTTGAGATAATCTTCTTCATTGAACAATCCAAGAGATGTTAAAGCCCCACCAAATTAACTATCTTTCATGATTGCATTTTTCAGCAAAACTTATAAACTCAAGAAGAAAAAAAAGAATAAAGAGGAGTCAGTGAATTACCAAAGGTGTTCCCAAAATTGGTCCACGTCTCAGCTCGAATGGAGTTATCACTCTCTGCAATTCCAATGACCTCGACGTAAGTAGTAAGAGGAGCGGGAGACGATCCCCTGACAAAGATCTGAACATCATCAGTAGTTTTTCCGACCACAGATCCGATTTCGGAACCGATCACTTGAACCACGGTTCTGACTTTCCGGCCAGCCAATCGCCCCAAGAGAGCTCCGTTCACAAACGCTGAAGGACTTGAAGTATCCATTTGAGAATCTACATCAAAAGATTTGAGTTGGCTTGTGAAATTTTCATATTCAAAGGAGAAAATCGAAAGAAGAACCAATAAACTGGTAATCCAAATTTTATCGCGGAGGTGAGAGAAAAAAAAGAGGAAAAATCGATTTTCATAATCTATGATTAAATTTTCAATCGAAGGAAAGAGAATCATTCTAATAATAATCGGCACATAGAGAAAACAGTTGTCTGAGAAATTTTTTACCTGATTTGAGAAGATGAATAGCTCGTCGAAACTCGAAAGTTGCTTAATGATTTCGTCTTTAGCCTCTGAGGTTAAGGGTTTGAGAGAGTAATGGAGAGAAATTTGGGCGGGAGCGAAAAGCTTCAGATGGCGCCAAAAAATGTGGTGAGAAAGCGAAAAGGGTTTTTAATGGGACCCACAGTTCATACTTCTAATATGGGTCTAAATATATATTTATACCCATTGGGCTTGACAGTCTCCTTGGGTCATTGAGTTACTAGAAAATGTTTTTGTTTTGTTGTAAATTTAAAATTATTAACGTTTGACACATTTAAACTTTTTGTTTTTATTTTCATTACACACACAAAACATAGTTACGTCAGTGTATTTATGATCGTTTCAAAGAAGGTAGATTATTAATCAATATTTAATTTAATTTAATTATTTAGTTTGAAAATTACATATCACAAAAAAAAAAAAATATATATATATATATATATATCATAGGTATGTTTTCTTAATTTGGTATAAAAAAAAAACAAAATTACATAGAAAAAGTTGATAATTAAGTTTTAGTATATCAAAATCATTTCTCTTTCATTTTTTTGGTGATAGCGAAGGCGGCTCCCGCTACTGCCACGATCACCGCTGAAATTATGATCGTCTTTTTCAGCGTTTGCGCAGCGTCTCTCTTTGCCTTCTCGTTTTCCTTCCTTTCCAAGTTTTGTTGTACCTTTTCATTTTTAAACACAAAAAACATATATAAGAATACAAATATCTTAAACCGAGTCAGCCATATATTTTTGGAAGATAGAGATTCCATCACAAATATGGCCAAATTTAGAGAAATCAAACGGAAACAAAGCAAATCTTGTTTCAGCTAAGTAGCAAATCAGACGGTAGCTAGCTACGTAGAATACGTAACTCTGTTTCATTTGTATTAGTATTAGTTTTGTCAAGCCACTGCTAAATCAAATTAAGAGGTTTGATTTGACACCTACTTATATAAAATATAAAATACCTTATCAGCAGCGATCTCTGAAGAAACAGGATCTACTTCAAAACTCTTGTTTAGGCCAGGATTTAGTTCAGCTTCTGCGTCGCCTTCTGGAAATGTTGCTGTATCCGTCCCATCCGTTGCCATTTTCACACTTAACCTTTTGTTTTGTTTTGATTTGTTTTTCGTAAAAGAATGCTTTGAACACAAAACAAAATGACAATAGAGGAGGCAAGTAATTAAGTTTGGATTTTGTGGCAAAAGTCTTGTGCTCTAAAAATAGTTTGGAGTTTGCTTTGGATCTTTCAGCCATTCCATAAGCCTATTTTTTAGCGCTCTTTTTAAACAATTATCCGCCATTTTCGTCGATTCCACTAAACTAAAAATGGCGCTAACTTTTTCATGTTTCTCAATTTGTATGAGCTTTCTAATCTAAAACTATTCTAATTTTAACATCAGATTATCTGAATATTCATTAAGTAGATTTTTACATAATTTTTTTAGTCATGAGTGCTGTAATGTCTTCGTTTGGTTAATGGCACCACACAAAAAAAATAAAAGTAAAAGAAGGTTTAGTAGTTTGCTACAGTGTTTCAAAGGGACACATGTTTGGTTATTTTGGTTCGGTCCAGAGAGTTTATTTTTAACTCACAACGAAGTAAATTTATTTTAACTCACTTTTTTTAATAGAGAAACTCTCTGTGCCTCGGAGAGTTTGAATTGTCAAAAAGAACAAACAAATCAAAAGGAAGAAGCAGATCCTTCCAAAAGAATAGCTTTCATATGTTGAACCAACCCATCCATCTGCTCTCTCGAGTGCAACGGCGAAGGATACACAAACGCACAGTCCAATTTTCCATCTCTAAGCGAATCGAAAACCGCAATGGATGGTCCAACGCCGTGGATCGATGCACATCCTATGTAATCTCTTACCCCTACCGAAACCAGTGCTGGTTCCGTGTACTCGTCGGTCACCGGATCTTCAAATATGGAGATTAAAGCGGTTCTAAGAGACGAGGAAGGAGTTAAGTTAGGGTTCTCTATGGCCTTGCACATTAGGAAATTGAGGTCCGACATGTCAGTGAAATGCTTGTTGGAGTTCTTTGCGGACGTGAACGAGTCGTAGCATCTCTTGGCCAAGTCCCAGAGCTTTTCTCCTCCGGTTATGTCGTGTGTGTGAAGGATCCCTGAGTGGTAGAAACCTGATATACCAATATCAACAAGATCAATACAACGTTTGCTTTAGCAATTAGATAAAGAAAATTTTGTTCAAAATATTTACAATCAAAGCTTGAACGGTTTATTTGGGCATTAGCTCATGGCAAACTTGTAGCAATCATGAAAAGATGAAGATCTATATATGAATCTTATACCTCATCACAGAGAAATCTGCTTACCAAAGTCATTAGGAGTAAGAGGAGGTTCAAGAATGGAACGACAGTCCGAAAGAGTCACCACGGCGTATTTCTCTTCTTGGTTTTGCGGTGGATTCTTCGAAGCATACGCAGAGATTAGCCCCGCCGATGATATTGCCGCCCATAGCTTTATCCCTCTTGCCTTGCATCCCTGCAACCGTGATTCAATTTTTCCAAATTCTCACCACAAGCCAAAGTAAATGCATGCATATGTAATGTTGTGATGTCATGTAAGTGATTGTCGAACATTAACATATACCAAATGGGATACTCTTGCTCCCCATATCTATCGTTCTGTATGTAAATGAACAAGAACATATCCCAAATGGTAAAATCTTGAAATATACTAAAAACACTCATGTGGATTTTGTTTTAGATTTTGTCATTTTCAGCAGCATGTGTGTATAAAAAGTATAGAATTGTCGCCTTAAGGCATGGCGAGATCAATGTTCATATCCAATCATTCAAGCCAATTATCTACAATTATCATATAAGCCAAAATAATCTACATGTCTGGCATTTTTTTTCTTCTGTAAATGGTTAAAAACTTAAAATAAATTTCATTTAAAATACTTGTGAGATATTCTTTTATATTTAAATAAATAAATTAAGAGGAAACTATATATATGATGCATATAATAATACGCACGCATTACTGGAAAGAAATATTAATACTATATGCTTAATACGCAAATAATAGAATGTTAGCAGAGAGTCACTCACAGCCACAAGTTTGAGAGTCTGATCTCTTTCCAGCTTCAGCCTCACCACTTGGGACCTCCGATTCGATTCCTCTGCGTCCACGAAATTCAAATTCGAGAACCGGAATGCGTTCAGCGAGTAACCCAGCACGTCGATCCCACGCGCCCAAAACGGTTTATTCCCTTTCCCACTCGGAACCAGCTCCTCTATCGCCTGACCCAACCCCGCCGTCTCCGCCACGGGACCGTTGCCACCACATCCATCGGTCGCCGTCGTCTCTCTCATGAAGTCCCTCAGAAGCGTAACCGCCGAAGTCCGATCGCAAGCCCCTGTGTTCAGACGAAACGTCAGTATCCTTTCCTCGCCGTCTCTCAGATCGTAAAGGCTGACGAAAAACACGCCGGCTTCGCCGTTAGTCCAACGATGTGGATCGATCCATGTGTTCTTGTTCATCTCGTGTTCTAGGATGATCCTGTGCGGGTCGGCGAATGGATCGTCGCTATCTCTGATGATCTGAGCCGTAGATGCGGAATCAAATGGCTGGATTTCGACGCTTGAATCGGCGGACGTCACGAAGGAGAAGGAGTTTGCGGATGCGTCGAAACGGAAGCTTGAGCGGAGGATAGGGTGGTAAATCTGGAGTTTGTTGAGGGTATTTTGGAGATTTTCCAGTTTGGGGGTTCGGGAAAGTAAGAGAGCTATGACGGCGATGCCTGTCCCGCCGGCGATTGCTCTGCACCAGCTGTACTCGGTGCCTCCAACGGGTCGGGTCACGGATTCGAGTACCCGATTTGGATTCGGCTCACTCATTGTAGAAGAGGAAGAAGAATAGCAGAGAGCTTGTTTTCGCTTTTTTTGTGTGTGTGGAGATTCTAAGATTTAGTTCTGATTTTCCTCTTGTCAGGTTGTTGGCTAATATGGGAGAAGATACAGTGACGTACCTTATTCTCGATTCCGGTTTTATGATTAACCGGCTTAGCAATTCAAATCGTCGTGATAATTTTGCATTTCTGATTTTACATTTCGGTCCTATTTTCTCACATTTCTCACTTTAGGCGTACCAAACCTAAATTTTAGATCAATTAAATTGGATTTCTGTACATCCCTGCCTAATTACACTAGTCAAGATGGATCGGTCCATTTCATTTCTATCCGGATAAAAGAGGAAGCAAACTGTAAATATATATTCCACGGTCACATTGTTATCCCTTGTTAATTTGACTTTCGGTAATGGTTAATTTGTATACTTACCTTAATCTTGGTCGTATAAATAAGGTAATTACATCAAATCCTAAACACCAAATTAATAATGATTAATGTTATGGTTAAAAATGTATATGGTCTCGTTAATTAGAAAACAATACATCACGTAAAATCGTTTAATTTTTATATTATAAAACAAATACTAATTTCCCTCCCCTTTTCCCACATCACAAATGATTGATCTGTCATAATTACGCAAATATAAATGTATGTAATGTTGTATTAGTTTCACATCACTAGTAATAGAAATTCAAATACCAGAAGAATAAAATTTTCTCCTTGATCCGATCATGTTAAGGAATCTCAGAGGTAGAGTTCTTCTGCTATCAAGCAGCGCCACCGAGTTGCGATTTTCCAATTGTTCAGCCGCTTATAAAGTTTCCGATGATTCCCACGAACAATCAACCTCAGTTTCTCTCACTGATTCCGAACCTCCTCGAGACACTGGGGACTACATCTCCGCGATTCTTAGCTGCAAAAACGTCATCGACGTCGGAAAAATCCACGCCCAAGTGATCGTCAATGGCTTTTCACAGGAGCTTCCCGTCGCAAACAAGCTCCTTTACATTTACGCGCAATTCAGAGCGATAGCTGATGCAGAGGCATTGTTCGAAGAGATGAGCCTTAAGGATTCCGTGTCTTGGAGCGTGATGGTTGGTGGGTTTGCCAAAACTGGCGATTTCCTCAACTGTTTGCGAGTTTTTAGAGACATTGTTCGATTAAGCTTGAACCTTGATAACTACACGTTGCCGATAGTGATCAGAGCTTGCAGAGAGAAGAAAGATGTTGTCGTTGGTAGATTGATTCATGAAGTAGCGTTGAAGTCTGGTGTGGATTTGGACGGTTTTGTTTGCGCAGCGCTTGTGAATATGTACGCCAAATGCGGTATAATCGATGATGCATGTAAACTGTTCGATGGAATGCCTAAGAGAGACCTTGTGACTTGTACGGTGATGATTGGTGCGTGTGCGGATTCAGGGAGGCCTGATGAGTCGTGGGTCTTGTTTGAACGGATGAGGAACGAAGGAATTGTTCCTGATAGAGCTGCCATAGTTACCATTGTTAACGCTTGTGCTAAGCTCGGGGCTTTGCACAAGGCGGTGATCCTTCATGATTACATCCGCTTGATGAATTTTCCTCTTGGTGTGATGCTGGGGACAGCTCTGATTGATATGCACGCGAAATGTGGGAACATCGCTGCTGCGCGAGACGTGTTTGAGTCGATGAAGGAGAGGAATGTTGTTTCGTGGAGCGCGATGATCGCAGCTTACGGGTATCACGGGGAAGCAAGAAAGGCTCTTGACCTGTTTCATGTGATGGTAGATAGAAGATTGTCTCCCAACGAAATCACTTTCGTTTCTCTGCTTAATGCTTGCAGCCACGCGGGGCTCGTCGAAGAGGGCATGGAGATATTTGATTCGATGCCAAAGTACGGCACTAGGCCAAACGTGAAACACTATACGTGTATGATCGATCTCTTGGGTCGAGCTGGTAGACTCAATGAGGCTAGTGAGATGATTGAAACCATGTCGGTTGCAAAAGATGAAACTTTATGGGGTTCGTTTCTCGGTGCTTGCAGGATTCATAAGAACGTGGAAATGGCAGAGAGAGCGGCGATCTCATTGCTTGAGCTACAGCCACAGAACCCAGGTCACTACATTTTACTCTCTAATATATATGCAAACGACGGTAAATGGGAGGAGGTTGCTAAAATTAGGAACTTGATGAACCAAAGGGGATTAAAGAAGGTCCCTGGTTATACTTGGATTGAAGCTAACAACAGAACACATAGGTTTAAGGTTGGGGATAGGACTCATCCTAACTCTAAGGAGATTTATGAAGCTCTCAGGGATTTGACTGAGAAGCTTGAGAAGGCGGGTTTTGTCCATGATACAAATTTTGTGCTGCACGATGTCGATGAAGAGGTTAAAGTCGGGATGTTATCTTTACATAGCGAGAAGCTAGCGTTAGCGTTTGGTTTGATCTCGACTCCCGAAGGTAGTCTCTTGAGAATCACAAAGAATCTCAGGGTTTGCGGTGACTGCCATAGTTTTTTCAAGTTTGCATCGATGGTTACAAGGCGGGAGGTTATCGTAAGAGATGCAAACCGGTTCCATTGCTTCAAGGAAGGTTCTTGTTCATGTAAAGACTATTGGTAACCCTGGTTAGTTAAATCATGAAACCATTGAATGCAGTACATTCAATCGGTTTGGCAAGCTTACAGGTTCATATACCAAAAGATGCAAGCAGGTTCTTATGGCTGACATTTGGGAGATTCCTCCAATGATAGCAACGAAAGCAACATTACTAGTAGCAAAAGTTGCGGAAATATTTATATACCACAAAGTTTTCTTGGTTTAAAGCGAACCGGCCAGGTTTGTACTCTCATTTTGAGGCAAAACCATGTTTTGCTCTGCCTTTGTAGCATCAGGGAGAACTTTAGTTTTAACTTTTTACTTTGTTAGCTTGAAGTTACTCAACGTTATAGTCCTTGCTGGCAAATGTAAAATTTCATTTATTTATCAAATATTACGATGTAAAAAATAACACTAAACAAGCAAATGTTAAAAATGTGTGACAACAAACTGAGGAATGAGGATGTATGAATTGAATGATATATAGAATTTGTACATATATACTGATACGAATGAGAAATTAGAAGAGATTACAAGAGTGATTGGTGTAATTAGATATTGTTAGTAGTAATTGTGGAGATTGAGCAGTCATAGAAAATTAGAAATTGTCATATACAAGAACAACAAAATGACAGATAAATATCTGGTTTAACACCAAATTTAGGTCTGTAAATCCAATAAATTAATCTCCTAGTTTCTCTTCCACTCTTTAGTCTGTTTTGTTTCTTTGCCACGCAAACCTACTAAAAAATAAAAACTATTGACCAAGATATTTGACTTTTAATTTGGGATAATAAAAAGGGTTGTTAAAATAAAATGGATAAAAAAGACAACAAAAGGTATAATTGCAAAGCCACATTATCCTTTTAATTTTAGCGTGAGATTGAGAATATTTTCCGGATCCAGATAATCTTCAAACAGAGAGAAACTCTGTGATAAAAAAAGAGAGTTTATAATTGCAATGTTTATATATAGAAGAAAAAAGGAAGAAGAATATTTTGGGGATTATTTTTCTTCTATATATAAATATTGCATTTAAAAACTTTTTTTTTTAATCACAGAGTTCTCTCTCTTTGTCAAACTATAATAAATTTATTAACACATTAAAATAAATCGTGGTGATCATAGAGCTTTCTTGCACCAATGAGTGCTTCAAAGATTGTTTCTGTGTTACTATTGCTTGTATTGATCAATATAAGCAATAATAATGGCGTCGATGCATTTCACAAAATTTTCAAGAAATTGCAATCTAAATCGACGTCGTTGGAGATAGTGAGTCCTCTCCACAGAACCGCCTTTCACTTTCAACCTCCACGCCACTGGATCAACGGTATAGTGTGAAAAAACTTATTCAAAGTTCATATTTCTAATTGGTCGTTATACTATTTTCAGAAAGAATAAAAAACGATTAAGAATGGGTTCCGTTTAATTGTTGATTAAGAGCTTACGATACATTAATCAAAATATATTTGTTCTAACCCATCATTTTCATTTGGTTGTTTTGCAACTATCTTTTTCGTGGCATTTTCGACTCCAACAGATCCAAATGGTAAGTCCATCACAGATTAATTTTTAGAAATTAATAACAAAATAAATAATATGATTAGATTGTGACGATATTTTAAAATGAAACAGCCCCAATGGTGTACAAAGGAGTCTACCATCTCTTTTACCAATACAATCCCAAAGGTGCGGTTTGGGGTAACATTGTATGGGCCCATTCGGTTTCTAAGGACTTGATCAATTGGGAAGCACTTGAACCGGCCATTTACCCCTCTAAATGGTTCGATATCAACGGTACATGGTCCGGCTCAGCTACCCACGTACCGGGAAAAGGACCGGTTATCCTCTATACCGGTATCACCAAGAATGAGACTCAGATCCAAAACTATGCCATTCCCCAAGACCTTTCCGACCCATACCTCAAGAAATGGATCAAACCGGACGATAACCCAATCGTAAGACCCGATCATGGCGAGAATGGATCCGCTTTCCGTGACCCGACCACGGCTTGGTTTAACAAGAAAGATGGGTATTGGAGAATGCTTGTGGGCTCAAAGAATAAGCGTAAAGGAATTGCTTATATGTACAAAAGCCGTGACTTCAAGAAATGGGTCAAAACCAAACGTCCCATCCACTCCCAAAAAGCTACCGGTATGTGGGAATGTCCCGATTTTTTCCCGGTATCCATTGACAAGAAAACCGGTTTGGACTTCAGCTACGACAGTCCAAACATCAAGCATGTGTTGAAGGTTAGCTTGGACTTGACCCGGTACGAGTACTACACTCTTGGAAAGTATAACACCAAGAAGGACCGTTACATACCAGACGGTAACACTCCTGACGGTTGGGATGGTTTGAGATTCGACTACGGTAACTTCTATGCGTCGAAGACATTCTTTGATGACATTAAGAACAGAAGAATTCTTTGGGGTTGGGCCAATGAATCCGACACCGTTCAAGATGATACCTTGAAGGGTTGGGCCGGTATTCAGCTTATCCCAAGAACAATCTTGCTTGACTCTAGCGGTAAGCAACTCGTGTTCTGGCCTATTGAAGAGATTGAGTCATTGAGAGGAAAGAATGTTCAGATGAAGAACAAGAAAATGGAGATGGGCCAACGCTTTGAGGTCCAAGGAATCACCCCGGCTCAGGTAATTTTGTTATGTTTTTATGATATATATAAATCTACCAAGGTAAGTTTTACGGTTTGAGATTTGATAACGTGAGCGTATTTACAGGTGGATGTGGATGTGACATTCAACGTTGGAAGTCTAAACAAAGCCGAAAAATTCGACCCGAGCTTCGCAACAAGACCACTAGATTTATGTAACGTGAAGGGTTCGAATGTGACCGGTGGGGTTGGACCTTTCGGTCTGATCACCCTGGCTACATCTGACCTAGAAGAATACACTCCTGTCTTCTTTAGAGTCTTCAAAGATGCCGCAACCAACAAGCCTAAGGTCCTCATGTGCTCCGACGCAAAGCCGTATGTTTCTTTAACTCACTTACTATATATTATATGCTTTTGGATAAAAAGAAAATTAAAACTATTTAACAAAGTTGGTATTTATAGGATTTCCATCTTGAAACTGCATGGACACCACGATTGTTTCTTTACGTTTTCCAAAATCTACAAATGATGATTAGACTTTCAGAATATATTAACACAAATTTCATTTTTACACTATAATACCATATTTTTTAATGTGGCGTTTTGTAACATTTATAAACAGTTCATCTCTCAAAAGAGACACTGGCTCTGACCAGAAGGAGAAGATGTACAAACCATCGTTTGCTGGTTTTGTTGATGTCGATCTCGCCGACGGAAAGATCTCTCTAAGGAGTTTGGTACGTCACAAGCTAATACATTTCGTTTTTGAACTTTTTCTTGTATATAAGCTGACATTTAACTAATAGGATTATGCAATAATTGTAATAAATGCAGATTGATCACTCGGTCGTGGAGAGCTTCGGGGCAAAAGGAAAGACAGTGATAACATCGCGAGTGTATCCGACAAAGGCAGTAGGAGACAAAGCTCATTTGTTTGTCTTCAACAATGGTGCACAGCCTGTGACTGTCGAGAGCCTCAATGCATGGAACATGCAGAAGCCTCGGCAGATGAACCAAGGAGCTAACTGATCACTCTTTTTATTTTATTTTCTTTGATTAATAAATTTCATTTATTTTTTTTAAGAAAGAGAGAAAGAGAGAGAGAGAGACACTGTGACAAGATACAGTAGAAAAGAAACCTAATTGTGTTTCTTTTCTATCAATTCAATTTGTACATAGTCCATTGCTTAGATGGACTAGAATATTAATAAAATCATATTTTTTTTTAAAAAAAATATACAGAGTGAATAAGAAAATGACAGTGATATGTTAAGATAGGCCCTATTCTGCAAGGTGTTGCTGAGACAGATCTTTCCGTCGCTAGGAATCTACCAATTAAGAAGTCTTCCCAAAGTGGTGCGGGATCCTGGAAGATTTCCTCCGGGACCTTAACAGATTCGATTCCATCATGAACTGAAATATCCAAATCATACTTTGTTAGGCTTTTTTTGGATTGAACCACATTCGCCCAAGTGGGCACTGATTTGACCGCCTCTGGAGTTGTAACTGGATCAGAAACCGTTCGTGGTTGTTCCCCCGTATCATCGGTGACCACCGTCAGGGCCATCATCCTCTCCGAGGAGAAGGATAAATCCAGCGGCGGCATGCCTTGAGGCAGAAGGAACTTCAAGCCCTAGTCGCACTCTAAATCACCCTCAGAGCAAAACGCTGCGTTGGTAATCCTCACAAAAAAATCTACCGACCAAGAAATTAAATTCGTTCTGCAAGGTGTTGCTGAGACAGCAACAAGCGATCAAAGATTAAACGATCAAAAAACATTTATGTACTAATGTCCTTCTGCAATTGCTTTGCAGAAGCAAGAAGCAACATAAGAGTCTGAGAGATTTCATGAGATAAGAACGAAAGGATCTTCCTTGCCTGTTCTTCACGAAAATCATTCAGTGCACCTTTCATACACCGACAAGAAATGAATCTATGTGGCTACATGGAAGAAATTGATCTTATGTTTTACATCTTTAACACCTGCTTAAGCCGCTTCATGTTATCCCAAACTATAGTCATCCCATATTGTTATCGTAGTACAGTTGCATTAACTGAAACTGTAAGAAGTAGAATAAAATTAATGGTTTTGTAACGTTTCAACAAATCTATGAAAAACCAACAATAAGAAAGAACAAAACAACACTTTCGAAATGATTGATTTATTACTGTATGAATGTGACATAAGTTGATCGAAAAATAACGAAAGTAGTTTTCCGCATCCAAATTCAGGTCGAGGATGAACAAGAATATCGTAACAAGCATATGATCCATAACGAAATAAAGTTTATCCAAAATGATTCAGCATAAATAGAGAACCAAATCCTTTTACTGATATAATCTTTTAACATAAAATTTCACTGAAACAAAAACAACCTTGTCAAGGGGAAGACACGAACAAGAAACAGAGGCACGAAAGATCAGATTCTTGAAACGAGTCTACTTGATCTTCTTCTTAGGCCTCAACTGGTTGCTATGGCCACACTTCTTCTTCCTGCAGTTCACAGCCCTTGGGTGGAGACGAGCATAACACCTAATTTCACATGTAAAACTACATTAGAATCATCTCCACTAAAACACTATCTAGACATAAGGAGCACCAAAAACAGACGAAACACACAAGCATGCATAGAACAAACAGAAATCAAAATCTAGAGTAGTCATAGAATGAAACTAGATTGTACAGATGTACATTATTCAACACAGGACTACAAATTATAAGAATATCAGCAATCGATACACCACAAGTAACATATACTAATTTTATCGACTAACAAATGTACCATTCAAGAAAATCATCTGGAAAGATGAGAAATTTGACCAGCTGACAAAGTTTGGAGAATGGAATATTGATATTGGGAACATTTATAACCTCGCACGCATTGTAACTGGCTTGAGAAGCTAAGTTAATTCCCACAAACCCTAGTTTCTAATATCATCAACAGCAGTACACAGAGAGAAGAAGAGTTTTGGAAGCTTACTTGCGGCAAATCATCTTGTCCTGGTTGTACTTACGAGCCAAAGCCATCAAAGAAGGCTCAATGATACCTCCCCTAAGCCTCAACACGAGATGAAGCGTGGATTCTGATAACAGACGATAACAATTGAGTCGATTTATTCAATCAAGTGAATGGATAAAAAATCGAAATAATCAACACGAAGTTGATACCTTTCTGGATGTTGTAGTCAGCCAAAGTACGGCCATCTTCGAGCTGTTTTCCGGCGAAGATCAATCGCTGCTGGTCCGGAGGGATTCCTACGAGAGAAACAATGACATGTAAGAGATCTGTTTTCACAGAAGTAGTAATCGAAGGGAAGAATGTAGATTTTGAGTAAGGAAAGGTACCCTCTTTGTCTTGGATCTTAGCCTTGACATTGTCGATGGTGTCGCTGGATTCAACCTCGAGGGTGATGGTCTTACCGGTGAGGGTTTTCACGAAGATCTGCATCTTTTGTTTCGTCTTCTTTCCCGTAACCAGAACGAAGAAGGAGGCGGATTTTATACCTCGATGTTCATGTCTAGGGTTTTGGAGTTAAAATTGGGCTTGAGCCCTTTTCTGGTAAAGGCCTGTATCGAAACTATATTCCATTTTCAAAATGAAATTAATTAATGCAACAAGATATCAAAACGCTGACAAGCCCAACTTGGTTATCCCAACGAACGTGAGAACAAAAAATTGGAGAAACATAATACAGTCTAGACTGTGGGTCATTCTAGTAGTTTTTATGATTAAGAAAAAGTTTATAATAAGAGAATATTTGTTTTCAAATGAATTTCTGATATTGTAACATGATTTTTTTTTTCTTTCGATAACACATTTGCATCAAATGTAAAAATAGCTAGAGCTCAGATGTGTTTTACAGATGTAAAAGTCAAGTTTAATTTAAGACCATACAGCAATCTAGGTGAACCACAAAAATTGGTAGTAATAACATATTTCCGAACTTTTACTGTCATCTGATGCACGAAAATATATTTTTGATTGGAGAAATTTAGCAATGGTCGAAGCAAGCATACATCACATCATTTGTATATGATTTCCATATTCTGAGACATCTAATTTCACAATCGTCTCATGATGTTAAGTTGTAAACAATTGAAAAAAACACAACGTTAAACAACACCAAACTTGATTTGGCATTTAAGACTTTGTATATAGAATACCCAAAATCCAATATGCTTTTCAAGAAGAAAATGACAAACCGGATTTTTTAAAATCTTATGGTCAAATAGCAGGTAGATAAAATCTGTTCGGAGTTGAGACTACAACAACGCATAGTAATCCAAAACTCTTTTCAATCTACGAAAAAAGCAAAATGAAACAGAGACAGAGACAGAGGTAAATATAGAGATGAGCCCATAAAGATAAACTCAAAGTCTCCTTCCTCTTCTTCCACCCTTTCTGCGAGTACTGTCGGTTGGGATTGGCGTCACATCCTCTGAGTTTAAACAAACAATAACAATGTAAGAGATTCGTCCATTTAAATACAGTAATAAAAAAACACAACCTAGATAAAGATTTTGTTTTTACCAATGCGACCAATCTTCATGCCGGAACGGGCAAGGGCTCTTAGTGCAGACTGAGCACCAGGACCAGGTGTCTTGGTCTTGTTACCACCAGTGGCACGGAGCTTAACGTGAATGGCAGTAACTCCGAGTTCCTGTAATCGCATTCACAGCTCAAATTACATTCACAAAAAAAGGCTTATCAAATTGTCGGCTTGGTAAATGCCAGTTTCTTGGCCTTACCTTGCATCGCTGAGCGACATCTTGCGCAGCAAGCATAGCAGCATAAGGTGAGGACTCATCTCTGTCAGCTTTCACCTTCATTCCACCTATACAATTTCAAAATCAAAATCAGCTATATAAGAACAATGTATATTCCCATAAGAGATACATCAGAGTGACTTCAGACGCCATAATATCAGAAACTACCGCATCTAATACGGTTCTATTAAGCAACCATCTATGTCGTTCAATACCAAATCAATTTCTATAGAGATATCAACGAAATTCCTCAACTATATAAATAGTCAAGAGACTAAAACAGATGCATCTTACACTTACTACAGATTACAAAGACCAAATTATTAGAAATGACCGATCCTAAGTAAAGATTGGTATAGACAAATCAACGAAACGATTAGAGAAGGAGTGGAGATAGATTCATACCAGTGATGCGAACAAGTGTTTCCCTTCCAGACAAATCAGTAACGTGCTGCAAATGCAGGCATAAGAAAAGGAATCAGCAGTGTAAATGGAGATTATAATTTTCCTCAAAACTAAAGAAAAAAAGACAGAAGTCACACTCACAATGAAGGTGTCGTTGAATGAGGCAAAGATGTGAACAACACCAAAGACTTGCTCTCCTTCACGAACAGCAGGCCCAAGAGTGACATTCTCTTCCTTTGGCTCTCTGGTCTTTCTCCTCGACTACAATTACACCAAAGCTTGCATTATGCGTTTTGCAATTATAATTGAATGCTAAATTGCAAATTCCAATCTTTCCGAACATTCATATGATTTCAGATCGAAATCCGTAGAAATGGATAGCTTCAGAAACATGTTCTCATTTCAGTCGGATTTCTAGATTTTTACATGTTACTAACACTCTTAAGTAAAACTAAAATAAAAGATTAATAAACTGAAACTGTATTTTCCGATCTAGCTAATGAAAGGGGAGACTACAAAGTTTTTATTTTAATCACAAAATCAAAGAAAATAACAACAAGCATCAGACGAAGCTTACCATGGTTTCGAACGGACAAAGGAAGCTAGGGTTTTCGTTCTGTTCCGCCTTCAGCCATCGGGAGAGATGACCAGAATTGGCTTTAATAGTCAGCATTTTCGTTAGGGTTGAAGTACTGATTTTATGGGCCGAGGCATAATTGAGACCCAATATGTTTAGGCCTAATATATCCAGGCCCATTAAGTTGAATGAAACCGATCATTTTCCCGGTCCGATTGCAAATTAAAAACAATGGTTTTGAGCATTTTTACCTTGTCGTTTCTGATGACGTTGAAGCATTCACTTGTAGATGTTGTGCTTAAAGCTAATAGCATGTAGTAGTATTTTTAGCAGAAAGTATTAGATTCCTCCTAAACGCTTGTACATTAAACTTTTAACACAGGAAACCTAAAACCATGTAAAAATCGAATAATTAAACTTATAATAATATCAAAAACAAATACAAATACAACTAAACCAGTTGCTGCAAAAGCTTTAAACATATACTAAAAAATATCCACAATGTCATTGCACACTTTCAAACACTAACTTGTTTAGTCGACTTCACCAAAATGTATGCATCTATAAAAATAATGCCAGGAAACTACTCCAAAAATCTTATGCATTTTCTTTTTATTTATTTAAGAGTGATCTCAAATATAACACCTTGCAAGTTTCCCACGGTACACCGAGTCCCGGGAACTTCATTCATCAGCATCCCGTGCTCAGCGCCTTCTCTCAAGATTGCTGAATCCATCCTGAAACAACATTTTTCACATATAGTTTGAAATATGTGACTCATTATGAAACTTGCAAAAGTTGTGGCTCACGAACTTACTGTCTAGCCCGTGATACGTATGCTAGTATGAACTTGCAATTTCCAGGTCCTCTGATTTGCAGAAGCTGCTCAACACTGTCAAATAGCAATGGCACACTAGACTGTTGAAAGCTTACGTATTGTCAAGGCAAAGGCAAACCCAGAGTGCCCAATATGGTTTAACTCATCCCAACTTAACCAAAACTGAACTGAACAGAAGATAAACCACTGTACTATGAACATAAGGATATAGATATCAGCTCCAAGAATGAGATCAAAGCCATCATTGTGTTTCTGTAAAATTTCACCAAGATGATCAATGTTTCCCCATTCTAGCTTTGCGGCCTCTAATTCTGTAGATATAAATGTGAAACGCAGAACCCATCAAAAATATAGTTGTGCAAGATGAGAATCGACAGTATAAAGTAAAAATATTGTTTCTCACCAGGGCCACTTGAATGTTCATGGAGATCGATGTTTTTCTTCAGTATCTGAAAATTTCATTTACAAAGACCTTGATTATACATTCGCATTCTCAGAACAAATCTTCAGTGGATTTAGTTAACCTTGCCTTTAGCACTTCATCGTTATGGTCAGTAAGAACAACTTTACGGCAGAATTTGCTACAGAGAACTCCTGTTATACCTGTGTTATAACAAAAACAACAAAAGTATTCAGAACGTTCTGCAAATTACGACTTCGAAGTTTATATATGCTAATGATGATTAAATCACAGGCAAAAAGAGTCTACAAAGACCAAATCTGTCAAGAATATATACAACATTTCTAACAAGTGGTGAAGATGTTTACAATACCGAACATTAGATACGTTAAGAGACACAATACAAAGCACTAACCAACGCCAGATCCCAACTCCAAAACTGAACATCCCTGGAGAATCTCAGCATTTTCCGAGAGATAACCGTTCATAAGCATAGCACCAGGCCAAACCAGCTGCCCTGTTAAATCAAAATCAGCTGTACCAAAAAAAACAAAGATCTCTCAATTCATTGCTCAAATTTTTTAGTTTATCTGTGCCTATAAAAGTTTTAAAGGATACAGATAAGTAACTAATTACAATTTCAAAAGGATGATTACTTTCATTTGGAGTATAATAAACATATAAAAGAAGAAGAAGAAATCAATTCAAGAGCAGAGATCTTAGACAGCTACATCCATCTAGTCAAAGGATGATTGTTGAAGGAATTCACAATCTTTGTTAATCAGCTATGTTCATAACTCAAGAACATATAAACAAAGAACATTTATGTTTATGTTATGTAAGTAACTACAGAAGGACTTTCATTTGGAGTATAAACATTTATAGAAGAAGAAGTCAATTAAAGAGCAGTGATCATATAACTTCATCATCAAAAATTAACTCACTTGATGCTGATTGGAGACAGTAGAGCTCAAGAACATTGGACCCAAAAGTAAACGTAGTCAACTGATAACTGCATCCACAGAAACAAAACAATGTGTAAGCAAAACCAGACAGTTGATGAAGATTCATTACAGACCAAACATTTTGTTTTGGTTTGTATTAATTACTCATCGTTGATGAAGAAAGATTCATCTAAGCAAACTATATCTTCCTCTTCTTCTTCTTTTGCATCTCTCCCTTTCTCACTTTCGCTGCCCATCTTTCTACTGCAAGTATTGAAATCAAAGGAATTGATTCGAAAGGCCAAAGGAAGAAGCTAGAAACCAGAATTGCCTTTTTAATACTCAGAATGTTAGGTTAAAGTAGCGAGTGATTTTATGGCCTAGTAGGATTACTGACACCCAATATGTTCAAGCCCAATATAATTAGGCCCATTATGTTGAATTAACACCTGTCCGTTTGTAAAACAAAAACCAAGGATTAGAGTTTGTTTTTTTTTTTCATTTTTGTCGTTGCTGATGATGGATGTTGTAGCATTCTTATATGATCTTGTGCTTAAAGATATTGATAGGAGGTGTAACAAGTATAATTCTACTATTTTGGGCAGAACATTATTAGATTCCTCCTAAACGTTTTGTACATTGCTGAAGGAAATGCAAACGCGGAGAAAATAAACGAAACACTAACACAGGGAACCGAAGATGTTGGCCCCTTTTAAGTAATTCATTGTTTTTGGATTTGCTATTTAGAACGAAACAATCAGAAAGACTGATGCAGTTCTCGTAAGTAACGCATCGTCTATTTGTGTGTGGACAAGAAGTTGGGGCTCACAATCTCCAGGAGTCCCTTTGGATTGTCTGTGTGGACCCAGTGGCCAGAGTTACGGAGAAGATGAGTAGCAACCTTCCCATCCGCGACACTCTGTCTTCGGTTAGCGATTGTTTCAAGCCGCGTGGTTGTATCGTGGTCCCATCGGTCACTCTTTTCTGCAATCACGAAAGAAATCTCCGTCTCTTTTGGCGGGTTCTCTAGCAAGGACCAGTACGAAGTCTCCCTAAAGTGAATAAAGGTAAGATCTTGAGGAATGTCGTTGTAGAATTAAGAATCATTGGTTTGACTGTTATGAGAAGAAGAAAGAAAACCTGTAAGACTTGAACATTTGAACAGCTCCGTCGAGGTTAAAGGCCCATGTCTCTGAGTCTCCGGATCTCTTGAGATTGCTACCAATCCACTCAGATAACGATCTTGAAAACCCTAGTTCCACCATATGATCCACGAGCCACCTTAGAGAATCACAAGGAAAAAAAAAGTCTCATTGATATGTGTAACATAAAGAGCTAGATTTTATCATATAAGCATATACTCTTCTTTCCCACTCGTCTATATGCATATGCGTGTTTGACTCTAATGATAGAACAACAAAGCTTGAACCAACAACAGCCTAGAGGGCAGAAAGACACCATGAACCACGGAAAGAAGGAGACTTTACGTGCGGGAAGTGATCGGTGAAGGTAAACTCTGCAACGTGTGAAGAACTTTCTCTACTTCGCCATCACTTTTCTCTGCCTTGACTTCCCCAGGGACAGAGTCTAGCACCCATAGCTGTTCTGCATCAAAAAGAGAAGACACCAAACGGATCTTGCTATGGTCATCAAACCAAAGAATGATGCAACATTCTTCATCATTATTTCCCAGAAGAAGCAGCAAATTAGCAATCTTACGACAACAATGAGCTCATTAAACTTGCATAGATCATAAGAGTTGGCAAGCAAATGATGAACAGATCAACATATTTGATCGAAAACCCCATTATCAAGCACAGGTGAAGTCAATTCCTTTGCAATTCTCAAATTATTCACAGAGAAATGGCCGTCTAGTACCTGTTTAGGAGGAGAAGCGGATTCACCATAATCACCACGAGCACAACTCTCCATGAACTGCAGAGCCACTTTGCCTCCCAGTGAGTGGCCAATGACCACATCAGGCCAATTCCAGCCACTTGCCTTGACCAAATCAGCTAAATCCTTGGCGGAATTCACAAGATCATGAGGCGGATTAATCCCTTCCACCTCCGTTGATCTCCCGTGGTTCCTCAGATCGACAAGTACCATCTTCCAATCTGGAAAATTACCGATAAATCAAATGGAGAAAACTGAAAAATTCCGATCAGAGATAGAGAGAGAGAGAGAGAGAGGCATACCTGAGGCAGAGGAGACGGAGAGAGACGATGCAAGGGAGCGAGAAAACGATCGCCAGTTGCGGCCGGATCCGAGGAGGCCGTGAAGAATAAGAGCTGTGGATTCAGTCTTCCCATCCCCGGAGGATCGGACTTCTTCGTAGGCTAGGGTTTGAAGGGATCTCGAACTCGTGAAGCAGGAGGCGAACAGAGTCGGAGACTGAACGAAGCGAATCAAAAATCGAGATTCCAATTGGTTCCTCAATGCTCTCGCCATCGATTCTTCTTCCCTCTTCAAAATTCGCCGGCGAAATGGCCGAGAAGGAACAAACTGAGACTATACACGCCTGTCATCGACAATAACCGGACCGTCGCCGATTAACTAAAAAAATGGAGGAAAAAATAAAAAAGATTTGACAGCTGTGGGATTTGAACCCACGCCCTTTCGGACCAGAGCCTAAATCTGGCGCCTTAGACCACTCGGCCAAACTGTCAGATGCTGATAGTCTTGACAATTTTGTATAACACGATTAAATTCGATTTCCTGTTAGTCTGTTTGTTTCCGTTTGTATATATTTTCATTTCATCTAAAATGGTTATGTTTTTTTTTTATATATTAAAATCCATCTGTTAACTGTAAACACAATAAACCACCCAAACACAAACTCCAATTTACAGAAAGGTGATTCTACTTTTGGGAGTATGAAAATGTTAATTTGATTTTTTTTTGCTACGTATTAAAAGCAAATTCAGATATATGTTGCGTTTAATGTGGTTAATGGTGAGATTTGAATTAATGGGGACTGCATCATGCATCAAACTATACACCTTTTCTTCAAAGTAGTTAAAGTACAGTTATATAAATTCTCATAATTTTGTATGTTTCATGACATAAGTTCATTCTAAGTAATGAACCTACGTAAACATTGATATATTAAATATTGACCAGACAAATAGAGTATAAGAACCATTACATACTCCAAGTTTGTGGCATCAGTCATTTTTAGAACTCCTCCAAAGTCCAACCCAACGAAGGTGCAAATTGTTAGTATTATTGTTGTAGTTTAATACTATATATAGCGGAGAGACTCTATTTTGATTTATTATAGTTGACGTTGCATATCCATTTGTTAATGTAGATGTCATAGCAAAAAAAAAAAATCATTATTGTTTCTAAAGTCTAAAACAAATTATTGAATGAAGGGAATCAAAGATATTCAAGTTGATGAAGAAGAGATGATCTAAAGACAAGCGATGGCTTTAATTAAAATCGGATAACGCGGTCATAATTATTTAATTTTCCGTATAAAGGGGAATAAAAAGTCCAAAGGAGGCGTTTGGACAGTGGTACAAGGAATCCCCAAACCAGAACAAGACAATTATAGACATCGATCCTCTTGCAGAGTCAATGAAGCAAATCTATAGGTTTTGATGCTCTATTCAATAGCGCAAGACTATTATAAATAAACTAAAAAAGAACATACATAACACTTCAAAATTTTCGTAGTCCCAAACAAAGTGATTTACAGATTCCCTTTCCTCACATGATTGATTCAAATTCATATATATCGAAATGGTTCTGACTATACAACCGACTAATCTTGAAATGGACAAGCCTTATTATTATTTGGATGTCATAAACCATTTCGTTCTACAACAATCATTTTAAAATACAACTTCACTACCAAACTCGTAGCTTAATTTCACTACCAAACTCGATCTTCATAGTAATTAATTTGATCAACACAGATTTAACTGAATGACTTGAAACATAACTACATAAAGAAAGAAAGAAGTTGTTCCCTTCACTCTTCAGATTCGTAAAGAACGGGAATTATGGGATTAAGATAATAAGATAGTAACAAGAAAACTAGTAGTATCATTTAAAAGCTAACCATTAAATTTCATTAAATAGCTTCACATGGGAGATAACTGATGCTGAGGTATTAGATTTTAATGAAGGTCAATGGTAGTATTTGACATTTTGTTATCTAATTATATGATAAAGATATCTAAAACAACATATTTTCCGTTGACAGAAAAAACATATTCCAGCTTTTATAGTTTTATAGTGTTGCGAAGCATATTCAAAAATGAAACAGTTAGAGCTCTTACAAATCATCCCATTTTGAGCTTATAAATCAAGCTCTGTGTCTGTGCCATAGTTGCCATTAAAATGCTCAGTCTGTAAATCATTCTGAATAATTTGATTGTCTTCTTAATTATCATGCATGTAATACACAAAATTCCTAAATTATTATATATCCCCGCTTTTCTCTTTGAGGTCTGTATGTTAGTTACTGGCCTCTTTGTACTAAACTAACAAGAAAGTACTAAACAAACCAGTTATTGTACTCTACAGTACAGTAGAACTTTTATAAATTAATACTCGATAAATTAATAATTACTATAAACTAATAATTTTTGCTGGTCTCAAGTTGGGCCAGTATAAAAATTAGCAAATTTCGATAATATAATAAGATAATAATTTTTTTAAAACTCCTATGTAAAAATATAGTCCCAATAATTAGATAAATTAATAATTATACATATAAGCATATATATTTAATATAATATAGTAAAATATAATTATATTATTGTTTCAAATTTATAAAAATTATTTGACTTATTTTTCAAATTCACTGATATGATATTTTCTGGTAAGTTTTACATTGTTAAAAATTTTTTTTTTTGTTTTTTGACAAATATTTTGAATTTGAACTGAAATATCTCTCTATAAATTAATATTTTATTAATTTATCGATAAATTAATAATTATTAATTTATCGATTAATTAATAACTCTCTAAATTAATAAATTTTTGAAGTTCCAACATTATTAATTTATAGAAGTTTTACTGTAGTTTCTTGTTAGTTCTTTTCTCTTAAAATGTCAGTCCTTTCATTTTTTCAAAAAGAGTTCATGTAAGTTATATTTTCATTTTGTTTTATAAATAATTTAATTATTTGTAACATACATAATTACGATGAATAATTTTACATATGATTTTATAAAAGTCTATTTAGTGATCAAAATATCAAAGAAACATAAAAACTAACACTCTGCATATAAATAGAAAGTGTTTATATTCAATAAACTTTTTCCCCTTAGAGCATATACAATATCTGTTGACTAGTAAAATTATAAACATCTTAATGTTTATATCTTTGAATAACTAATAATTAAACTACCATCATTATTTACATATTTGGTTATCTTTCATATTTTTAAATGTTCATAATTTATCATGTCTAAAAAGTAATTCGAAACGTCCATATGATTATCAACAAAATACACTTTTTCAACTGTCATTTGAAACCGTCGTCTAAAATAACCGTTTCATAATATAAAAGTATAGTTGATATAATATAAATTAATTTTTCAATATCAAAAGTATTCATTTTTAGGTAACCTTGAAAATTTTATTTGTTTGATTTATTATTATTCAATGCTACCCATTGTTTTTTATTTTACTATTCAATGTTTTGTCATTAATAAAAGTTACCATTCGACCGTTTTTTCAAATGAATTGTATCTATTCAAAACTTTTTTAAAAATAACTTTAAACCACTTTATTCACATTATTTGTTCATTAACGATTTTATCTATTTCTTTTGTTTTATTATAATTACCGTTTATGATTTTTCATACCGATTAGAAAATTATGAGATTTTCTATTATACTACTGATAAATCAACTATAGAAAAAAAGATATGGGGTATTATAAATACAAAACGACAGTTTATGAAATAAAATAAAAAATCAATTCATAAAACAACATTAATTTGTTTACCAATAAAATTCATTTTTTTTGTTTATGTAATATTTCAAATCTTCCCTTCTACATGTAAGCAATAAGTGGTTTGCTGCGCTGGTTTAAATGCACTATGCATTGTTTACTGGCTTACCTTTTGTTTCATATATTTGTCTCTACTGTACTTATTTTTCCCACTTCCAATTAATAAATTAATTACTAATCAAACAATGTAATCTTCTCACTCCACAACAAATTTACTTTATTCAACAAATATTAACTCCTCATCATAAATAAGCTCCTCTTCATCCCTATATATACACACATTCATTTGTTTAAGAATCCATCAGTACCAACAAACCCCCTCACCTAAAACAACACAAAGGAAAATACCAAAAAAAGAATCCCTCTCGACGAGTCCGAAGATGAGAAACAAGAACGGCAAAAGGATCAGAGTCGAGCCACCGGCGAGGACGGCGGAATCGGTGGTTGCTAACCGGAGGCCTAGAGGAGGATCTTCACCGAGCGACTCGTCATCATCGATCACCTCGTGCTTGTCGACGACAGAGGAAAGGAAGGAGGAGGTTGCATCCTCGTGGTTTGACGAATCGACGGAGTTGGTAGCTGTGGGATGTCGACACTGTTTTATGTATTTCTTGGTCATGCGAGGAAGGATACGTTGCCTTAACTGCGAAGCCACCGATGTGATCAAGTTTTAGAGAATTTGCTCTAAGTTATGGTTTCAGTTTGGACTTTTTATTATTGGGAATTTCTCTTTTGCGTGGTGAACTTTTCTGTACTGTAAATTCCTCTATATAAATTAAAGTATTACCCGTTAAAGAAAAAAAATTGACAGACGGATCATTTCTGTTTGTAGCTGTCCTGTTTCATTTTGTTTAAGTTGTTTATTTTCATGTTTTAATATTTCAAACGCAAAAGACATGAAAGAGGACTGATTTCGAGGGAAGTGAGCCCGATTGTTTCAAACGCTAGTTTTTGGCGTTTGCATAGCGTTTATATGTGATCTTTTTGTAGTAGTACAAAATCATTTTTAAAACACTATATACAAATTTAAAAGCAAACAAACAATCTGCATGTCACGAATAAACCAAAAGAAATAATCAAATGTGGTAGTATACGACTAATGGTATTGCTTTGGTGTCATCGTCATTCAAGGGTTCAATGGTATATATATTTTTTTACCTTCACTTTTTTGAAAAAACGCGATTTCACTAAATATATATTATTCACAATAATAATAACTGAATGATAAAAAGTGAAAATTAACATACTATTATTCAATCTATTCTGCGGATTTTAAATTTATAACTAGTTTATAAAAAAATATATTCATCTAATAGATATTAACTTTTTAGCGTTTTGAATTTATTCATTTTTTTGATTCTGCTAATTTATTATCAGTCTATTCCACCATTCTGCTATTCAATTGTTATATAGTCAAACTTTAGTCTCGTTCTAAATAATTAAAGTTATAAATTCTGTCAAACAAAAATTAAGGTTATAAATTAATTTATTTCCGTTTAATTGAGGATTATATTTTTTTTAATAAAAGTCAATATTAT